TTTTATGCTATCTTTTCTCTAAAAAAATAATAAAATTTATTACTTAGCAACTGCAAGATCTATAAATCTTTCAAGATCCTATAAATATTTTTCTAAAGAGCTTTCATTAAGATTAAATGATAATTTATAATCTAAGTGTGCAGTTGGATCAGATGCCTTAATAAAATAAAAATATAAATTACCAATTATGTTTAAGATAATTCAATTAAAGCATCTTTTAAAGTAGGACCAATCTCTTCCATTTATTTTCTAAGTGTATTGATTTCTTCCTATCTCTTTTTAATAATTAATTCATTTTTTTTTCTGTGTCTTTCAGCTTATGGTGTTGCCATAAGTAATCTCTTTTTACTTTCATTTTCTACTCTTTGAGAATCTATTTTTTTTTTTAAATCTTAATTTTAATCTTATAATTGATCAATTTATTAAGATAAAATGTCAACATAATTATAAAGAGAATAATTTTATTCTTCACTTTTAATAAAAGTATTCATAATTTCTTCAATATCTTAAATACCAGAAGCTTCTTTAATTTGATTGAAAGCATCTTCAATAACTTTCATATTCTTCCAATATGTATCTATTAATTTAACTTTTTCCTTATTATTAGAAATTAATTTCTTTAATCTAAGTTTTAAAGTAGAAGCTGTATCAATATTTGCAGCCTTCTCTTTTTTTAATCCTAAATTATCTAAATCATGTTTTTTTTTCTCTTCCATAACTTCTTTTTTTAATCTATCGAATTATTCCACATATTTTTCTTTTTCTTAATCATTTTTTTTCTTCATTTCAGCAATAGTTTCTTTCTTTTTTTAAGCTTATATTTCATTTGAATTACGAAATGCTTCATTTGTGACAGTTTCATTTTCTATTCTTAATAATTCCTCCTATAAATCTTAATGAATATTTATATATTGATGTCTTTCTTTTCTTAACATATTGATCTATTTTTTCAACTCTAAATTTTAAGTTTATGATTCATTGTATTTAAGAATTGATTATTCTAAAGCATTTTATAAATTTTTTATTTTATTTAATTATTGTTTAGCTGCTGGCAATGTTTAATCATGTTAAATCTAGAATTATATAGAATGATACTTTTTTTATTTATTCTTTCTTTTATTACCATTCCTTTTTAGTTGTCACCCAAGTTTCTTCAATATTATAATGATGTTTTTTGTCTTATTCAACTTTTCTTATGTAATTTTCACTTTCCCTTTATAGTGAAAGTACTTATGATTCATGAAGAATGCTTTAAGTCTAAGAAATGTTAGAATTAGGAGCTGAATTATATCCAAAAAACATTTAATAAATAAATAAACTATATTAATTTTATAGACTAACTAAAGTACTACAATTATGTATATTAAAATATTCATATACTTATAGGAGCGATTTATCAATAGAATATTAGAAAGCAATGACCTAAGGGAGAGTACTTGATTGTCATCTATAACATCCAGGATTAGGATGCATTTCTTTTGCCTTATTAAAGTATTAAAATAAAAAAGAATTTAGATTCTTATTAACTGGAAAACGATTTTCTATATTTTTTATACCAATGCACTTTATTCCAATTTTAATATTTAAGAGAAAAGAACTTAGATCACAGTAATTATAAAATTTTAAATAGTCCTTTTACAACAATAAAAAGAGCTTCTGTAAATTGTTTAAAATCTTTATTATTTCTCTCATCAATGGTAGGAATTATTAGATTAACAATTTGTTCTTTAAAAAGATTAAAGAGACCATTAGGAGGTATGTTATATTAAATATATTTTAATAGGAATTGATGGATTAATAATTGGTTTATTTAGTGGTACATCTATTATTTTAGAATCTGATGGAAGAGGATTTGAAATGACTCTTCAACTATTTCCTCGTTTTTGTGAATCTATTTATAATCATTTCCATAAGAAATACCCAAAATTAAAAATGAAAAACTTTGAATTGATATTATTTAGTCTATTGATTGGATTAATTCACTATTGTTATTAACATAATGTAATTAATTGTATAAAATAATAGAGTTTAGTTATAAAATCAACATATTTAGCATTATTCAAATAATTTTGGGGAAAAAATTGATAATTATTATTTATTTGATATTTTTATTACTAATCATTTTTTATTTATATTACTATTTATAGGCATTTAAATCTGTGATTTTGGTTAAACTCTTTAGGTATTGCTTACTTATTTTTATACTTCAAATTATTTATATAGTTAAGCCAAAGTTGGATTTTGATGTTCACTTACAGGTTTTGATTAAGGTGAAATAGCATTTTTTTTATTTTATGGACTTATTAATTATTTCAAATAATTTTATTGATTGAAATTTTAATGTGTGGGACTCAAACTTAATTATTGTTATTATTTCTAAGTATTTGATAATTCTTTTTAACTCAAAAGTGGCCTTATTATATTATTCTATTTTACTTTGATTTAGCATTTTATAATAATTTTTAAGTTTTTAATAATTTGCTTTACAATTCTGGATCTAAAGAAATACTATTAGGTAAATTGGATGTAAAAAATGTATCTTTCTTTTCTTAAGATTTACTCAAAGTTGATTCAGTGGGTACCTAAATAAATGAATTAAAAACTACAGTTTTTTGTGTTTAAATAGAATCAAGATCTAGTAAAGCTTAAAGGAGATAAGATCTTTGAACTTCTACTTCTCTATTAAATGTGTATCCTATAAAATTCACATCTTTTCTAACTGATTTACCAGAGCTTTGTTTGAAATAAATACTTACTCTTAGGGTACCCAAGGTTCCTATTCTTCAAATTTATCAAAGTTCCTAGTATCCAATTCAGATTTGATTTCTGGTATATAAGGTGATACCTTGGATCTTAGATTTTTCCAATCTATACCAGCAAAGAATGGATGAGCTTTAATTTCATTGACTCCATTCACTCCCAATCTATTAGAAGCATCTGTCATAAGTCTTAATATTAAATCAGTAGCAGCAGGAGATAATTTGGCTTCCTATGGTATAACAAGTGTTTTTTTCCAATTTATAATCTTCTAACAAGTTGATGAAGGATCATCAGAAAAAAAAGGTGGATATCCTACCAACATTTCAAATAATATAGCTCCTAATGACCACCAATCTGCTGTTTCATTATAACCAGATTTTCCAAAGACTTCAGGTGCAATATAATCAGGAGTTCCTACTGTACTATAAGCCTTAATTCTATTTCTCTTGAAGGTTGTTGTATTACCTCCTTTATCTTCTGGCTTATGTACACTAATTCTTTCATCTAATCTTGTTCCTCTTGATTCTACGTATTTACATAATCCAAAATCACTTAATTTGATGTGTCCATCTGTTTATAATAAAATATTATCTGGCTTTAAATCTCTATGTATATATTTTAATTTATGAACAGAATCTACTGCCCTATACTTATTTATTTATATTATACATTATTGATTCTGCCATATAAAATTATGATTCTTTCTCTGTAAAAATGTCTTTCTTCATTAATAATGTCATCAAATCTCCTCCTGCCAAGTATTCCATTACTAAGTAAAGATATCTTACATAATAGAATTTTATACTTTTCATCTTAAAATGAGCATTTTAATTAAACTATCCAAGGATTATCTGAAGCTGCTAATAGATCTCTTTCTGCCCTAACATGACAAACCTTACTAAATTACTTTAGATACTTAATTTTTATAAAGCATTTCAGACTTTTTCATTTTCTTAACTGCAACTATATCATTAGATAATTTATTTCTACACAATCTTACCTCACCAAAAGCACCTCTTCCAATAATTTCAATTGGTTCAAAGTCTTTTATGCTTAGTTTTTGTCTCTATAATCTCATAATCTCAGCCTCTTTGTGAAGCAAGTCTTATTTGATAACTTATTGCTCAACAGGTGTATAATTGAGATTAGTCAGCTTTTGAATTAATTGTTCCCACTTTTCTCTTTTCTCTTTTTATTCATAAAGTAACTTTTGGTATTTCTTTTCGATATACTATTTTGCAGCTTCTACTCTCTCTTTAGTAGACTATGATAACTTTAACATTTATGTTTTAGAAGGGTCCATAAAATATTAATTAATATTTTCAAAAATTCGTTATTAGAAAACCATATTCATATATTCATTCCCTTATCCTACTAAGTATTAAACTACTATAATTATTCCTCATATTTTAATCCAAAATTTTATACTAGATTCAAGGTATATGAATTCATTTTTTAAATCTAATAATCTCATAATTGTATTTCAGTGATAAAAAAGAATAATATATTAATTTTCTAAGCTATTTAATAGGATTTATTAAATCTAATATTGAGTACCCAAAAAAATAACATTAAATTAGTAGATATTATACAGTTTCAATTAAAAAATTGTAGTTTATTCAAAATTTATGATAGACTACCATTATTCTTTTCTTTTAAAGTATTAAATTCTATAATCTTTCCAACAATAAAATAACGTAAAAATTAGATATTTTTAATTATTCATATATTGCAATAATTCTTAAATATCTCTTATACTATAATAGTGATATATTTACTAATCATAATTAATAAGATAGATTTATAATAATTAAATGCACTAAGATATATATTATAGCTGTTAAGAGATGAATTTTAATTAAAAAATATTAAATAAATTGGAAGAATTCAATTTCCTAACAGTTTTTTAAATTTGTAGAAATTATAAATTAATATATTCATATTAGTATAATTGTTTAAGGAATTAAATAAATTAGTATTTATATAATATTATAAGAAATGAAAAAAAAGGACCTACTTGGATTCGAACCAAGGTCTTGAGGGTTAAAGCCTCAGGTACTAACCACTATACGATAGATCCTATGGATATTGATTAAGAGTCATATTACTATATTAAACTCTTGATTTTTAGAAATAATTTAGTTTTCTTAAAAATTAATCTCATACAACAATAAAAAATGCTTTTTAATTAATAATAAATTTTAAACTTTTTATAATATGGATATAATAAATATTATGACTCATTAAATTTAAAATTTTAAAGACCATTCTCCCTTCTATTATCCCTCCAGATAGTACCAATGTCCACTAAATGTCTAGATAGAGTTATCATATTATCCATAATATATTAATACATCACCTCCATGAAGATAAGAATCATCATAAAGTTTTCTTGAAAATGTTTCAACTTGATTACTTTTACTAATAGTTATTAAGCCCATCTGATTCCAAGTTCCATATGGATCTTTACCCTTAATATGGAAATTCAACTTTTAGGTGTCTATTGTGACTGAAACATTTTCTGTTTCCTAAGGAACCCATTCACCCATGAATTTGTAAGTAAATTATATATTTTCTTCTTGAAATTTTTAGGCTATACAATTCAATTATTAAGTTATTTCATCAGCATTTTTAGTTTCTTTATCCATATAAAATAATATTATTTAAATGATAGGAAATTATTTTAATAATAAAAAATAAGTGATGAATCATAAAATAAGAAATTTTAATTAAGTTAATAATTGTTTGTATTTTCCTTAAATATATATTATCAGTATATCTCTATTATTATCTTTAGATATTAAAATAAATAATAAGTTAAAAATTTCATTTTAATAATCAATTATATGCATATTTTATTAAAAATTGACATTTTTAAAGCATATTTTATACTTTTATAAGATGGAATAAATTGGTTTTATTAATCTCTTAAGATAAATATAAATTCAATTAACAAAATACCATCTATAATTTTAATTGAATAAATAGTAAAAACTCATTAATTTTTATATTATATTATTACTCAAAATGTATTAACAGAACAAAAAATCAAGCTATAGAAATTATCAAATAAGTAGAGTTAACTCAAAAGTCCATTAATAAGAGAAATCAACTTCTCCATCTATGAATTCTAGATAATAAATAACTCCAAATAGAAAATAATAATTTTCATTACCAAAATTCGATACTACAAATAATTATCTTTAATAACCTATAACTAGAGAACATATGCTAAAATTCTTAGAATAAATTGTTTTTGCAGTCGAAAATGTTTAATGTATTTTGTCTAAACCAGAAAGTGTATAAAATTAAATGCCAGAAAATCAAGATGAATAAAAAAATAAATTCAAAATTACCTAAGAATAATAAACAGATTAATCTTTTATTTAATAATAATTACAATCTAAATTTAAATTTGTAAATAAAAAAACATAAACACCTAATAGAACTTAATCATTTTATTAAGAAAGTGAATTAAAATATTTTAAGGCAACTAAATTAAAAACTGAATTTTCAGAAGAAAGTGATACAACAGAAAAACAATCATTTAAATTACCAATTATTTCACAATAATCTTCTACAGTAAAATAAAAGATCAGTAAAATATTACCAGATGGAACAAAAAATAGAATCTAATCTTAAGTTATTTAGTATTAATATTATAAAAATCATAAAGATAATCATAAAATATAATCTTAATGTATTAAAGGATTTCATTAAGAATCTTAATCAATTAAATCTTAAAAACTTAATGAATCTTCTTAGTAAAATATAATTAAAACAGAGTAATCTGAAAACGAATAGGTTTCAATTACACCTAAATAATCAAAAATAAATCATGATACTGAAACTCAAAAAAAAAAAAATAATATTCATATCAAAGATTAGTCTTCTCTTAATTAAACAACAAAAGTACAAAATGATAAATAAAATAATTAATTAGAATAATCACATTAATCTATTATAAGTAAAACTTCAAATAATCTTGTCAATTAGGATACAAAACAGAATTAAATATTTGATCTTCAAACATCATAAGATAAAAATATTAATAGTTAACCAAACTCAATTCAATAAGAAGATTCTTAAAATATAGAAATCAAACAGAAAATCAAAAAAAGACCTATTCATTTAAAATAAACAAATTAAATTAATAATGATTCACTTTAATTTGATAAACATGAATTATCTATTAATTCAAACTAAATTAATAATTCCCTTTTAAAATCCCTTTAATTAAATGATGCATCTAAGATTTAAGAATAGAGTCCTTCTGATCAAGTCGATAATTAATAAATTAATTAAGAAAAATCCTAGAATAATAATAAAGATGATGAGAATATTGATTTAAATAAAAAATAAGATAATTAAGCATAAATTGATTTATCATAGCAGTTAATAAAGAATGAAGCTATAACTCATAGAATTTAAGAAATTTAATTACAAAATCCCATACCAGATTAATAGGATTTATAATTAATTTCTAACAGATAATCTTAAAATCAAAATAAAACTCTTGAAAATGAGGAATTTTATTTTGAACCTGAAGAAGAAAATAAAGTAATTTCAAAACTCTAACCCAAAATCAATTTACAAGATTAAGAATAATTAATGAATAAAACTAGTTCAACAGTGAAAAGTGTTTATATTCTTAACAAAGAAGAAATTTTAGAAAAAGGAAACTCTGAGATATAATAAGGATTATAAAATTAAGAAAATTTAAATTAAAATGATACATAATAATTACTATAAATAGAGAATGAAAATACTTAGAATCAATTAAGTAAAAAGAACTCAATAAATGAAACATAAGATTAAAATTAAAAATCTGAGAAAAAAATTACACAAATTACAATAAGAAATGATTTAGTAAAAAGTCTTTTCTTAGAAAAATAATAAGGAGAAATTAATGAAAAACTAAAAAGTTTACAATAGAGTTAAATTTATACTAAAAATGAGTAAAATAATATACATATTTTTAAGTTTAAATAAATAATTAAATTTAGAACCTACCGATTAAATCAAAGAAAATTAAAGTAAAAAGATACAAGATATAAGTCAGATTAATTAAAAAAAAGAAAATTAAAATATAGGAGAGAATCATTAATTCGTTTTAAATTAATTATAAAGTAATGAAAACGAAAACTCATAAAAAAGATTTGGATAAGAATCTTTGCATGATTAAAATAATACAATAAATATATCCTAGGATCAATTGAAACAAATTAAATCATCTGAAAATATAGATGGTTATGATTAAGAAAATAATCATGATCTATTATAAAAGGATTTAAGTTAAAATAATTCTTAAGGATTAAGTAATAGATCTATGATTTAATCAAAGAAAATTAATTTTCCTAAAGAAACATAAGGAATAGATTCTAATTTGAAAATAATATGAAATTAACTTTGTCAAATAAAATTATTCTATATTTATATTTGTTTTATATTTTTATAAAATTCTTAATAATATTATATTAAACAAAATTAAAATACACATTTTTCTATTTGTAATTTATATCAATTTAAGTTATTCTGTGAATAAATTTTAATTAGATTGAAATAGTAAAATTATATATGAAATATCAAACTTGTCATTTTTGAAATTTCCATAAAATTACCAAAATTATAAAAATTCATTGTTTTATTCATATATTTATACATATATAATTAATTTAATCATCAAATCATTCTGTTTAATAGGTAGTAGAAGAATTGAAGATAACCTTTTGAGATTGTATTGTTTTTTGAGGAGATTAAGAATCACCTTTTAGTTTTTATGGTAGTGATTGATATTTCAATCTATCCATAAATATTTAAACTGTATGTTCACTTTTAATAGTTCTTTGACTAATAATTTATTAAGGGCTATCAATCTAATTCTGTATTTTTTCAATTAATAATTCTCTACGAGATTAGCCTCCTTTAGCATTTAAAATGATATCTGCAATATTTAATTTAGTTTTTAGAATGTTATCATGAATTTTTAAGTCATTTTTTTGCCATTTCAATCCTAAATAAAGAAAAATGTAAATACGATTTGGTTTTAAGAATTTTGACATACCTCTCTATGTCAAATAACCTGATTCTATGATCTATTTTTTTTTGAGATATTCTCTCTCTTCTGTTTAGATATATTTTTTCATTTCACTTCTTTTAAAAGAAAGAAAAGGAATATGGACAAATTAAGCAATAGACTTTCCAGTAACAGGTGTATTTGTTGATTATGGACTTGCAAACATATTTGATGTGCTAGCTGATTTAACATGAAATTTTAATGATTTTTTCTTAAGACCTATATCCATCATATTGAAATAATTATTATATTATAATTAGATTCTTCTAATGAAATCTAATAAATTTAGTTAGAGTTGTATTAAAGAAGAAAAATAGAGATGTAAATGCTATAATCATCACACTAGCTCGAAGTTTAAATGCATCATTATTTTTTGTTTTCTCAGAAGTTCCAAGACATAGAGTTTCTCAAGCATCAATTATAAAAACAGAAGGCAAGGAAATTTAAAGAAGATTACTTTTTTATCATAAAACAGTGCTTATTGATAATTTGATTAGAAACTCTAATAATAAGCAAAAAAATAAAAACTTCAAGGAAAAAATGTTTGAGATTGATTATTCTCGACAAAGAAGATTGAGCTGCACTTGCAATGATTGTGGTAAAAGATCAACAAAGATGAAAAAATTTCATAATGTATATTAGAAGTAAGAACAACCTTCCAAAGAATTCTGGTCTAGTTTAATTATATAATAGCAATAATAATCATAACTTACTATTTCAACAAAATCATTAAAATCCACTGCCACTCTTCTCTCAATTCCTGATATTAGTCCTAAAAAATAATAATTGAAAATAGAGAGTCCAATGTCAAAGAAATATAAAAGAAATCAAAAATTAGTCTCTCCCCCTTCAATTAATTTAAAACCATATCTTTATGAATCCCCTTAAATAAAAATTACAAATCTCTAAACAGAATAAACATAATTAATACTTAAACCAATATCTTTAAGATCTTCAGCACCAAATTTAGAAATATTTGATTATTCATCTAAAAATAGTAGTCCAAAAAGGGGCAAATCTAATTAAAATAATAAATTAGATTAATAAATCTAGACTGCTAGAAATCAAAATAAAAGAATGCTTCAAATTTGCTATTTGAAACCATTCTCTGGTATCTCAAATCGAAATACTATATTGAATACTTAAAGAAAGGAATAAAAATATTGAAATTAATATAATTTGATTATAATGTTTTTTTATTAAAGTTAAATGAATTTTAATTCTAATTTAATATTCTAAAGTATTCATTATAGAATAAATATGTATTATTATTTCTTCAATTATTATGATAATTTTTTAATATATAAAATAAAATAAAAATAACATTTGATTAAATTATTAAATAAAATATATTAAATTTAAATCGGTTTAAATAAAAACACTTATAATTTTTAAATTAATTAATTCAGAAATTTTGTACACTATGAAGCAAAATCAAAAAAATGAGGAAACTCAAACAAAAATCTACAAATAAAAAATCTAAAACTACATAAATCATTAAAAAAGAGACCCAAGAATTAAAGATATGACTAATGAAAAGATCCTAACTAAATTGTTATTAGATTCATTGATGATAGAAGATAATCAATAATATAATACAAGAATTTTTGATGTTATCAAAGAATCTATTTGGAGTTATCAAATTAAAAGTAAATCTATCCTTTAAAATAGAATAAATTCTTAATAAGATCATAAATAAAAATGATAAAATATAATCAATTGTTTCTTCAATGTTATTAATATTAGATGGATATTTTAATTACAATAGTAAGAAATTCAACTTGATCTACTTAAAAGTTCCATATGTTTTGAGATATCAAAGTTTTTTTTTATTTCAATCTACAGAAAATTTCAGTGTTTTATTTGAAGTTGGCTTACATAAATAGTATAATGATACCAAACAATAAGTAAATCTAAAAATTTATATTAGTATTGTTATTTTGATATCTTTTAAAAAATTACTTTTATAGATATCTTCTTTTTTTAAAAAGGATAAGAAATTACAGATGCTATATAAGAATATTAAATTAATAATTCAAAAGATTTCTACAGAATGGAATTAGACTAAATAGAATGTGTTAGTGTACCATTAACAGGAAACGATGCCAAATAGTAGAGCTACTTATTTTAAGTTTAAAATAAAATTTGGCCTGAATCATTATATTTTTAATAAAGTTAGAATTTAATTTAATGGATTCCTTTAAAATTTAAATAACTTATAGAAAATAAATCGGATCTCTTATTTAAAGGATAGTTTATAAAGAAATCTTATTATGAAAAGTTATAAAATTAATTTCATTATGAATAGATTGGAAATTAAAATAAGTATAAATTAATATAATTTGTTGATTTTGAATCTGTAGGCAAAATTTTAGATTTATTGTAAAGATCTTAATAATTTAAAATAAAACTATCGGATTAGGAAAGATAAATTGTTACTACAAAGAATAATGCATTAGTTATTGGTAGAAGTGGAACAGGAAAAACAACTAGTACTGTATTAAGAATATTTGCTACAGAAATGTTAGTAAAAGTAAGAAGCAAACTACTTGGTTAAAAAAGAATATAATTTTTGTAAGATTATTAAGGAAAAGAAGTTTAAATTCATTCCTTATTTTCAACTGCTAATAAGTATTTAGTATAAGAAGTAGAAAAGTATTATCATAAATTAGAAAAATAAGCTTAAGAAATTATAAATAGTCATAGAGATTCAAAGACTTTTAATTTAGATGAATCATTGTAATTTAAAACATTTAATAAATTAGTGTTTCAATTAATGAAAGTGTCATATCAAACTATGAATCTGATATATTAGATTTTGTTTCACTTTAGCCAGAGGAATAATGCCCATATAATCAAAATAGAGGAATTCATTAATAAGATAAACAAAATTTGAATGAATAATCATTGTAATAAACTAAGTTTCCTTGTTTTTTATCAACAGAATAGCTTCTAATTCTTTTAGATAAAACATCATAAAATCCATTTTTCTCAATCGAAAAAATTAATAAATTTAGATTAAAACACAGTAACAAAATTGGATTCTAAGATTTTAATGGAATAAATTTAGATGAATGGTTTCCTTAAAATAAAAATGTTTAATCTTAATCCTCTTTTTCAAATGATATTCAACATAAATAAGATATCATTTTACCTGAAGTTGATTTTATGTTATTTTATTTATAATTTTGGCCTTAGGTTTGTGGAAGAGGAAGAAACAATTTTGATAATACTGCTCTTCCATCATTAATATGGACATAGATTTACTCATATATAAAAGGTTCTTAATATTCATATATTTACCCTAATAGATGTCTTCCTTTTCATTTATATAAAGAAAGAGTTGGAAATTATTTAAGTGAAACATAGATGATAGAAATTTATGATTGCTTTTTAAAATATGAAATTTGGAAAGAAAAAGAATAATATATAGATCAATTAGATCTGATTAATCAATTATTAATTAATATAGAATAAAATGAATTAATTCGATTTCCTTTTCACTATTCTTATATTGATGAAGTGTAAGATTTACCTTAAGCTATGATTGAACTATTTTGTAAAATAACAGAATAAGGAATAATATTTTGTGGTGATTCAGCTTAAAGTATTCTGAAGGGAGTAGGATTTAGATTTTCTGATTTATAAACTATTTTTAAAACTTCAAAAAAAATAGGATCTAATTAATTAGAGAAATTTTAAGTNTATTGGTAGAAGTGGAACAGGAAAAACAACTAGTACTGTATTAAGAATATTTGCTACAGAAATGTTAGTAAAAGTAAGAAGCAAACTACTTGGTTAAAAAAGAATATAATTTTTGTAAGATTATTAAGGAAAAGAAGTTTAAATTCATTCCTTATTTTCAACTGCTAATAAGTATTTAGTATAAGAAGTAGAAAAGTATTATCATAAATTAGAAAAATAAGCTTAAGAAATTATAAATAGTCATAGAGATTCAAAGACTTTTAATTTAGATGAATCATTGTAATTTAAAACATTTAATAAATTAGTGTTTCAATTAATGAAAGTGTCATATCAAACTATGAATCTGATATATTAGATTTTGTTTCACTTTAGCCAGAGGAATAATGCCCATATAATCAAAATAGAGGAATTCATTAATAAGATAAACAAAATTTGAATGAATAATCATTGTAATAAACTAAGTTTCCTTGTTTTTTATCAACAGAATAGCTTCTAATTCTTTTAGATAAAACATCATAAAATCCATTTTTCTCAATCGAAAAAATTAATAAATTTAGATTAAAACACAGTAACAAAATTGGATTCTAAGATTTTAATGGAATAAATTTAGATGAATGGTTTCCTTAAAATAAAAATGTTTAATCTTAATCCTCTTTTTCAAATGATATTCAACATAAATAAGATATCATTTTACCTGAAGTTGATTTTATGTTATTTTATTTATAATTTTGGCCTTAGGTTTGTGGAAGAGGAAGAAACAATTTTGATAATACTGCTCTTCCATCATTAATATGGACATAGATTTACTCATATATAAAAGGTTCTTAATATTCATATATTTACCCTAATAGATGTCTTCCTTTTCATTTATATAAAGAAAGAGTTGGAAATTATTTAAGTGAAACATAGATGATAGAAATTTATGATTGCTTTTTAAAATATGAAATTTGGAAAGAAAAAGAATAATATATAGATCAATTAGATCTGATTAATCAATTATTAATTAATATAGAATAAAATGAATTAATTCGATTTCCTTTTCACTATTCTTATATTGATGAAGTGTAAGATTTACCTTAAGCTATGATTGAACTATTTTGTAAAATAACAGAATAAGGAATAATATTTTGTGGTGATTCAGCTTAAAGTATTCTGAAGGGAGTAGGATTTAGATTTTCTGATTTATAAACTATTTTTAAAACTTCAAAAAAAATAGGATCTAATTAATTAGAGAAATTTTAAGTTTATTAATTAACCAAAAATTTTAGATCTCATAATAATATACTTTAATTGGCTAATTGTATAATTATAATACTTGAACTTTTATTTCCTCATAGTTTAGATCACTTATAAAAAGAAATTTCAAATCTTAAAGGTCCAAAACCTGTAATTATTTCAAAAGCTGATCCTTCCTTAATTTTTTGTTATTTGAGCTAAGATTGTGATGCTGAAGAATAATGTGAAATAGAATTTGGCTATAATCAAGTTATAATCGTAAAAAGTGAAGAAGCAAAAGAAACTTTACCGTAACATTTTAAAACAGCGAGAGTACTTACAACTTACTAAACAAAGGGATTAGAATTTGATGATGTTATTCTATATAATTGTTTTAGTTCTGATCCCATTCCAGAATAGTAATGGGCCTTTTTATCTTGTCTAGATGTAGATGAATCATATATTGATAAGCAAGTTTTTGAAGCATCTATAACATGTATATTTATATTCATATAATAGAATTTGAGGAGTAAAATAGTTAGTGTGATATATAAATAACAGAAGATGGAAAGTAAGTTGTTTAAAAAAAAATAACTTTAAATTATAGATACGATAAAAAAAAAACTAATGATTATTCGACTCTTTGTAATGAATTGAAGATGTTATATGTTTGTGTAACTAGGGCTAAAAAGAGAGTAATTATTTATGATGATGACCCATCATAGAGGTATCATATAGAAAGAATTCTAAAATAATATAAGGTTTGTGATTTTATAAGTAATGTTGATTAAATTTATCAAATAACCTAAAAAAATAATAAAGTTTTTGAAAAGAATTAAAAAGAAATTTAATAAAGATAGCCAAGAATATTGAATAATGAGGAAATGTAAATATGGGAAACATAAGGACAATTGATGTTTTAAAAAAAGCTTTATGATGAAGCATAGAAGTGTTTTTAGAGATGCAAAAATGAAATTATGGCTAAATTATCTGAAGCGTTTCTATTTGCAGCTAAAGGATCTTAAAAATTAGCTAATTATAAATCATATAAAATTTAATTTAAAAAAAATGGTACTTTAGATCTCAAAAAAAAAATGGATGAATTAGAATCACAATTAAAATAAGATTTTCAAATAGCAGCATAATTCTTTAAAACGTCTTAGATAAATGATTTATAATAAGCAGCGAATTGTTATTACTCTGGTAGGATGTATGAAGAGAGCTTTATTTTGTTTTTTAATCAAAAATTATATCCGTAAGCTGCTAAAAGTGCAATAAAGTATAAATAAATTTTGATAGCAATTCTAATTTATTATAATTTAGGCGATCATATGAATTTATTAAAAGTACTTTCACGAAATATTTAAAATGAGGGTTTCCAATACGGGTTTTTTAAATATGATTTCCTAAAAGAATGTTAAAATTTTGGCCTTTTAAAGAAAGATGAAGTAAAATAGCATCTATTAAATTAATTATAAGATTCTTAACAAAATATTTTCCATTTATTAGTTTAGAAATCAAAAAATATTGGCAATATTATTGTAGAAAAAGATGATTTTATATAAAAAAGCATTTCAAAAAACATTTTAGACTAAGTTCCAATAAAAGACCTTTTTGTTATTGAAATAGATAATATACTTAAATCATAAATTTATATTGATGATGATTTAGAAGAAATGATTTATGAAGAATTCAAAATATTTTGGGAACTTTATTATGAGATAATAGATTAAAAAATGATAATCAACATATACTCATAATAAGAAATTGAAAAAATTGTTAATTCAGAATAGCAAATATATAAAAATGAATCATTAAAATAATTTTTTATTGAAGTCTTTGAGTAATTGAATTAGCATTAAGTAATAATTACTCTATATCCAGAAAAATGGTTATTTTATTAGTATTTTGATCCAAAAAAATAAAAACTTCAGGAATCTGAAATTGAGAATAACTAGTATTATAATACGTGCTAATTATAAAAAAGCAATTAAATGTCAATTTTATAGCTATTATTTTTAGATGAAATTGAAATATTAAGAAAATTTATTAAACCCTAAAATAAAGAATAAAGATTATTATATGAAGAACTTAATGATTTATTCCTTATTAAGAATTACTATCTTCTTAACTATTATTTTAAAAACTATAAACAAAATCTGGATAAATAAAATCTGGATAAATATGATCCTCCGAAATATAACACATATGAAGAGTATTTAAGAAAATTTGTTCATATAAATTTTCCTGAAAAATTCAAATTATTTTTTAAATTTCATGTCAAAATTAACAATAATTGTGAATTAAATGAATAAGATATATAAGAGTTATTTAATTTAAAATATTAGAAGGAATAATTTATGATTATTTTGCATTTTTTTCACAATCATAATGACAAATTTGTGGAAAAATTCATTAAAAATTTTAATTTTTAATAACTTTTATTTTTAGGAAAGTTTTTAATAATGATAGTTCATCTATTTAAAATTGATTACCAAGATAATTAATATTATTAAGATGTATTTTCATCTATTTGTTCGATAATTGGAGCCTATAATTCAAAATCTAAGCTTTTTAATTTCTTTGGATAGAGTATGGCATTTTATTTTATGATTGACAATACTGAAGAATTAATTCTAACAGAAAACTTTGATATTGAATAAAAAATTTAAAACTCACTTTCATAGAAAATAAATTAACTACCAATTCTATAATTAATATTTAATAATATAATTTTATAAAAAGGTTATATTAATAATAACCTATAACAATATTTAATAAGTAATCCATCTTTAATATCAGATTTAGTATTCATAATCAATAATGTCTGTCATTAAATTAAAAGTAATATTATTCAAAAAAAGAAATCTATTTTTAATTTAATTCAAGCTATATAAATTTTAGATTCACTAAAAATATAAATTCCAAAATGTATAATAGAAATAATAGAAGAAAATTATAAATTCTTATTAAGTTTAATTGCTTTTAACACTTTTTGTAAAAATTAAATATCCATAAAATCATTATAGCATTGGGTGAATTTTCATTCTAAGAAAAATTAATTTGATAATTATCATATTGAAACTATAAAAAATGAGATTAGTTAAGTAATTTTAATTTTAATTCTTCTATATAATGTTGATATTGCATTCATTAAAAACAAAAATGATATTTCTGAAATAAATCTTTAATATTTGGCAATAAATAATCAATATTATATAGATAATTCAAATAATGAAACTTAGTAAACAGTTTATAAAGAAGAAAATTAAGAAAATTAATAATAATTGTAAGAAATAAAAGATACAGATTAAAAATAAGATTTGGATTAAAATAAATGTTAAGAATTACAAGATTAATCTTAAATTAACAATTAAGAAATAAATTATGAAGGAGAAAAAAATGTATAATCAATAGAAAACATTATTTAGATAGAAAAATAACCTACATAATAATAAAAATAATAAAATTAAGGATTTTAGGAAGAAATCGATTTTATAATTTTTGATGAGTAAAGATAATTACTTGAATACTTAATATCTGTTTATTATTGTGATGATAATTAGATTAATGTTGATTTCAATTTTAAAGTAGAAGAGTTAGATAATTTAATATTAAATGTTTATTTAATCTTGTGTAAATACATAAATAATGGTTAAAACATTGAAATTAAAAAATTTATTCATTAAAATTTAATTTTATTGAATCAAAATTTAATACTCTTAAGTTAAAAAGAAGATCAATATGAATAAATTATAAATAATATTGTACAAATAATTATTAAATTTGATAATAATGATATGGAAAATTAAATATCTTAATAAAATATAAATGAAACAGTCTAACAAAAAGATTAATAAACATAAATGAATGATTAGTAGATTAAGATAGTTAGTGAATCTAAAAAATAATTACAAAAATAAGAAGAATTATCAAATTAAATTCCTTAAAGCAATATAATAATTGAACAAAGTAGCGTTATTAAGAATTAGGATAATGTTTTATAAAATATAAGATTATAATTGGAAAAAAAATAAATTTATCAGTATAAATCTTATCCTTTAAAAAATTTACAATTAATAAGTTAAAATTAAATTAATTGCAGCATATATCCTTATAATTTTAATTAACAAAATTACATCTGTTCCAATTAACATAAAATTAATCAAATATAACTATATTTTATAATAGAGAAATAAAGTCAAAAAAAAATTAGTTCATATCCTATTGGAAATAAAAAAACAAATGAGAATCTTATTAAAATCGATAAATTAAAAAAGTAAAATACGTATTATAATTTAGAGTTTTACACAAATGTATTAAATGTTCTAAAAAATTAGATATTTAAGGAGCTTCTTATTCAATATTTAAAGAATTAGTATTTTTATTGTAAAAAGTTAGTGATTTAGAATATGAATAAGAATAAAAGTAAATTTTTATAATAATTAGATAAATGGATGTTTATTAGAAAATTAATGAAATTGAAAATAAATTAACAAAGTACAAAAATAAAAAATTATAAATTGATCAGATGACTCATCAGATATAAAAAATATTAAATGAATTATGAATATTTATGTATGGTCTAGATAGATTAATTATAAAAATTATAATAATTTTTTCTCATGGGATCATGTTACACATGCTAAAATGTTACAACTATACCACCAGACTAAATGAAAACAATTAACTTAATGGATTATCAGGAATTTTTTTTTTTTTAAATCGAAGCAATTACCAAGCAAGAGAAAAATAATTTGTTTTTAAGTTTTGAAATTTTCAACGCTTATTTAGAAGATCAAATAAAATTTTCTCCTTATCCTGTATTTATAATGAAATGGGAAATTGGTTATGCTTTGAGAACATTAACATAATTTATCGATAATTCAAATGAATGGATAACTTTTATATAAGGCTCAGATTATAATACTGCGCTTAACATTTTTAATTGTGTTGAAGATGAAAATAATATAGATGTATATGAATAATTCTAATAATGGGAATTGATTAAAATTAGTTTAAATTCTCTTGTAAAAGAAGAAACGCAATTTAAAAATTATTTAGCATTCTAATATTTTAGATAAATTCTCAGATATCTTTAGTAGTAAATAATTGAACTAAAAGATTGAGGATTATTATTATAATATTATATATATAAAAAAATAAAATATATTGTTTATAATCATTCCATTAACTCTTCAACTTCATCAACTAAGTCTTGCATATCTATTACAATTTTATTAATTGTTGATTCTAATTTCATTAAATCATTTGATAGTTTATTATCTTCAAGTTTACATATTAATGTTAAATATTACTTATACATGTTTTCAAATTGCTTTCTCATTTAAATTAGTTTATTTTAAATTGAAAATCTAATTTATTTCAATTTCTGTTGAGTAATAGATTATGAATTATCAAATTATTATTTTGATTACATTTAAGTGATTTCACTAATGGCTACATCTCTTTTCCCTTTCAAAACTTTAATTAAATCATTTTACTGTTATTATTATTGTTTTTCAATTAAAATTTAATTATTAAGTACTTTGATTTCTTCTTCTTTTTTTAGTATAGTATTCCTGAGTTCTTAGATTTCTTCTTTCAATTTAGTATTTTCTAATTATAATTATAATTCAATTGTTTTTTGCTAATCTAATTATTATAATTAAGTAATTAATTTATTATTTTCTTTAATTAATAGATTAATTTATTATTATTTAGATTCATTTTCCTATCTATTTTTTGATTATTAATCTGCTAATTATTGTAATACCATATTATAATTTCTATTAATTTATCTATTTTCTTGGCTTTATTTATCAATTTCTTAGACTTACAAGTTTATTTTATGTAGTTATTCCTTATTTAATTAAATATATTCTTAAATTTCTTTTTATAATGCTTCTATTCTTTATTTATATTATTCTTCATTACTTTTATCAAGATCAATAAATGCAGCATTAATTTCTTATAATTCTTTATCATCTATTTAATTATTATTCCAATTTATTTAGGCTTAAATAGTTTATAATTCTTTTTTTGATTATTCTAGTTCACATTCAATGATTTCTTTCTTTCTTAATTCATTATCAGCATCAACCTACATTTCTATCATGGCCTATTCTAATTCTTTACAATGATTCTCCTTTTCTTACAATTCTTAAGCCATTCTTTTCCTTTCTTTTTCAAGCATTTCAAATTTATTAAACATAGGTAAAAATTATTAACAAACATCATCATATCCTTTTTAAAGTCTATTTATATAATCTTCCATTTAATGGAGAATATTTGTGAAATCCTCAATAGAATATTACCATAAATTATCTTTTGGAATATTATAATTCTTAAATGCTAATTAATCAAAAGTAGGAAAGGATTCAATTTATTGTTGTTTATGTTATTATTCTTTAGTCATTACTTTTTGTGCTGTTAATTTTGCATTTTCAATTAAATTTTTTATCATATTTATTATGAATCGATTTTAGAAATGGGAATTGTGTTTAGGGTATTGAATAAAAAGTGATAATTTATTTAGTATATATGAGAATAGAGCAGATATCAATTTATAAAGATAAAAGAAATTTGATGAATATTGTAAATTGAAAATGAATGCAAAAACGACAGATGATGATAAAAATGAGATTATGAAAGATATTAATAGAACTTATTAAGAAATGGGATTATTTCACTAAGAATCAAATAAAAACATAATGTGCAATGTATTATTATTATGGTGTAGTCATAGTTTATCTTATCGACAAGGTATATATAAGCATTTAAATAAATAGGTATGAATGAGATAGTGGGTGTAATATTTTATACATATGTTTAATCTTTTTAAGATTCTCAAGAATAGAATTCAACTAAAATAGAGAATGATATTTATTGGGTTTTTAAGACAATAATGGATGATGGAGATCATAAATAAAATTTTAATTATTCATCTCATATGCCAATAGATAGAATACCACTTATTAGATATATAAAAGATCTTACAATGGATAAACTTAAATATATTGATGAACAATTATTTTAAATTTTTGAATAGAATCAAATAAGTACAGAAATATTTTTAATGAAATGGATTAAAGTAATATATTCATAATATATATGTGTTTACTAGCCAGAGAATATGAGATTGAATAAATATAAGTAATTTGGGATAAGATGTTTGAGAAGTTCTAGACATCAAAAATGAAATTTTTAGATGCTATGATAATAACAATGATGATTTAATTGAAACCATAATGTAAAAATTAGTTTATTAAAATAATAGTACTTAAGATTGAGTATATTAATAATTTTGAAGTGTTATTATTATTTTAAAATTATCCTGCAAAAGATAATTACTTATAAATGATAGGATAAGCAGAGAAAATTGAAAGTAAATAAGAATTAATAATTTAGAATAATTAAGGTAATTAGAAGGAATATCATGGTTAGAGATTATTAAGAGATTTAATTTAGGTTACTCTTTATCTTTGTATTTTCAGAAATATTGATTTATTCATTAGAATTAATGGATATAAATTTCTCTTTATTTTTTATTTCTAATTTAAATCCTTATAAAAATATAAATTAATTTGAATGGAAAAAGTATTAAATTATGATTAGATCGTTTCACAATTAGTAGAATATTGTCATAAAAATTAAGATGAAGAAATCACCTAAATTGAAGCTACAAAAATGCTAAATTAGATGAGCATTAAAAATGGACATCAAGAATTTAATTATGAAATTGCTGTTGAATTGTTTGAAAGAGTTGCTTCTTACAATACCTCTTTAACAATTTAAACCTTAGCTCATGTAATCTAGGAAGCTAATGACATAATCATTAATAAATACAATCAAGCTATGAATAGAGAAATGTATATGGAAGAATAAAAAGCATATCTCAAATAAATCAAACCTTATTGCAATACAACAATACTTAATATTAGTTATGTGAGAATACAAGAATCTTATGTATAAAGACCTTATATTGTTATTCTAATAGGAGAATTTATACATGAAAGTGAAATATAAACAAAAAAGGATGGATGGTTTGAATGGAATTTAGATGTTCAAATTCCAGTTAAATCTCTTATTGCAGATTTAAAAGTTGAATTATTAGAAGATCATAATATTATTGCAAGTTTATAATTGCCTTGTGAAGCCTTGCCTATGAATGAAATGAAGGAAGCTGAATTACAAATGTAAAATGTTAATTGTCATACATTAATTTAATTATAATGTATGTTGAGTATTGGTAATGATTATAAGGAATTGATTGATGAAAAAATGCATTTTCTTGATAATCAAACATAACATTGTTAAGAAGAATTATTCCTCTTTTAATCTTAATTAAATGAATTATGTAAACCCTTTTTTAGAGATGCTAATATTTAACCTAAATATACTAATTATTCTAATAAATCTTAATTAAATACTGAAATATTTTAAAATATTCCTAATAAGAATACTCTTTAACCACCATCATTATAAGCCACAGCATTCAGAAACACTTCATCAGCATTGGGATTCAAAAAGATTGTAATTGAACCAGAAAGATAATTACATTCTTATCCTATTATGGCTCGTATCGATTTATTAGCAACTATTATAGCAGTATTTAACTAATTATTATAGATAGGTAATTTCTATGATGATTAATTTCATCACTCCTGATATCAGTATAACATATATCATGATTATAATATTCTCGATAATGTTGAAACACAAATATACTTTAATTTACATTTTAATTTTAGTGAGTTTTGGAATCATAATTGAAATATTTTCTTTAAGCTATTTAGATCTTAGCATATTTTCAATATTGTTAATAGTATTTAATATATTATTAAATATTGGATTGCTTATCCTTACAAGTTTGTTATTAAAAGATGTTGAAAATGTGACTATACTTAAATCCAAGCTTTTACTATCTTTATGATTAATTAAATTTTTGTTAACACTAATAAAATATTTATATTTAAATATCTAAATATTATGTATTAATCAATATGAAATATCAATATAGTTTGACTAGTTTTTATTCAGTTAATGAATAATATGATGGAAAAATGTATAATCTCTTATATAAAGAATTCAGACATTAAATTAATCTATTTACTTGGAGTAATTTATTATATTTATTGAAAGATATTTATAATACCATCAATTTAATTCAAAGTCTAATCATCCTATTTCATAGTTTTATTAAACAAAATATTTTAAGAATAATTATATATCAAGATTACCTTAATATGAAAAATATTAATTTAGAGATTGCAAAATAGAAATAAGTTATTTTAGTTATTTAATTTCTAAAAGATTGTTCAGTTTAAGAAACAGAATGATATTAATGGAGAAAGTCATTAAAAACTTATAAAATAATCAACAATTAGATCAACTTAAATTCTTAATATGATATTATTATTATACATCTTTTATTAAATAAAATAAAAACTAATTGTGATCAAAGGGAAAGCTTTTAGTATAATTTATATTTTTAGAAGTTTTATATAATCTTGAGTTTGTTTATAAGATAGATAATGGCAATTCATATCATTGGTTCTAAAGTATAGATATTAATTTTAGACTTGAAATTAAGTTTATTAAAAATTAAACATTATTTTGAATGGATAATTTAAACGATGAAGAAATTTTTAATGATCGTGATCGTATTGAACCATTTGTTAAAGCAATTACCAGAAATAAGCATTTATTTAAAGATAAAGTTGTGTTGGATCTAAATTCAGGGATGGGATTGCTTAGTGTTTTGGCTTCATAATCTGGAGCAAAATAAGTTTATGCTATGAAAGCTAATTGTTATGCTACTGAGATTATTAAATAGAATAACATTTAAAATGTTACATTAAAGAAAGAAAATATTAAGGAAGTGGAATTAAATTGCAAAGTAGATATCATAATTTCAGCTTGGATGGGTAATATGCTATTTTATGGTGGAAGTATTTAAGAAGTGATTTATGCAAGAGATAAATATTTAAATAAAGATGGATTCATCATGCCTGATAGAGGGTAATTGTATTTATAATCAATTGAAGATACCTAATATCGTGATTAGAAAATGAATTTTTGGTATTTTTAATTTTTAAATTATTATTATAGGAATTCTGTATATGGAGTGAATATGAAATGGATGAAATAATGGGTTGCAAAAGAGCCACTTATTGAAAGCATAAAAGATGATTAATTAAATAGTGATGAATAGTTAATTTATGAGGTCAATTTATAAACTTGTAAATTGGAAGATCTTAGTTTTAGTAATTAATACTAACTAAAGATCAAGAGGTAGGATTATGTAACTGGAGTCATTGTTTGGATGAAATATTCATTTACTTATACTCATTTACCTATTCATGTTATAATGGGTCCTACCAAGTCTCCTTTTTGGAAACCTGTTATTTTGTACTTTAGAGAAGAATTACCTGTTAATAAGGGTGATAAATTATAAGGTTTTTAAATAGATTTATTATTAATATAGGTTCATTAGCTGTTAAGTTTGAATCAGAAGAACTCTTACATATTAAGTTATCTGTACATTTGTAACAATAAAATTATATATCATATTTTAAGTTAAATTGAGTAAGTAAAATATAAATCATTATACTTTCATTCTTTTCACTATTTTTGTACTTTATTTATTTTAATTCACTAATCTAAAAGCTAATGGAGATGATCTTAATGAATTATATAAAACAGTTTCTGTAATATTACGATTAACTGTTCTTCCTCTTATATCACAATCTGTTTCTCTTCTTTTTGAACAAGATGAATATGATTTCATTCTTTAAGCAGTATATTTAGATTAAAGACATTTTATTTATTATGTGCTCTATTGTGAATCATTTTGATTTTGTTATTGAACTTCAACTGATCTGGCAAAATAGCATAGATATCTATTTAATTAATTGATGAGCAAATCTTTAATTTAATCATTCTAATCTGAAGCAAAATAGGTTCTTAAACTGTTTATAGTGTCTATAACACATTATTTCAATTATTTAGTCAATATTTTTGTTGACATATATTCTTAAGCATTAGCTTTTTTATCTAAAATTGGTATTACTAAAGATGAATCACATTTTTAATCAATTTTAACTTCTAATTCTTAAATAAATTTTAATTTGTCATCTATTTCTTATAGTTTTTCTTATTTTATTTAAGGTTTATTATTAATAGCTATTATCTATAAATTTAATAGTTCAAATTAAGTTTTGAATTTTTTTGATTCATCTATTAATTAAATTATCATCTAATTAAAATATTCCATTCTTATGTTTATTGTGTCTGAAACTTATGTACTATTATCTTAAAATTTATATGTTTTGGGTAATTTTTATCTAAATTCATCCAATTAATTTTACAATTCTTATATTTTAGCATCTGATCTTTGAAATATTCTCTACATAATATCAGAATTTATAAAAGATCCATCTCTTTATAGATTTGATGATTTTTTATTCATTTTTTAAGGAGAGGATTAAATACTTTACATTTCTTCTTAATAAATTTCTGTTTTTTTTGGAGATTCACAATAATTTATACTTTCACCTTCTTTTTATATAAGTTGATGTTATAAATTTTATATTTCTAATGTTTTTTATTTATTGAATTATTAAAATGAGACTTTTTATTCAAATATAGCAGCACTTATTGATTCTAGTTTTTCATTTAAACATTCAAATTAACTTTGTAAACGTATTGTTTTTTACATTGAAATTTACAACTCATCTTTCATAACAACTTTTTAGAATGTTTAATTAACTACATTTAATTATTATTTTAAGTCATTTAATTATTAATTTTCATCTTTGATTTATTCTTACATTGATTTACATTCTTCTTATATTTCTTTTTACATCATTAATATTTTCTCTGATAATATCTTACATACTTAATTTACTCTATCTTCATATACTCTTTAATCATTTTTTGTAGCATATACTTTTAATTTATTATTAGCTAAATCTTCAATTTTTTTATCAACTAATTCACTTAATACTTACACTTATCTATCTTTTATAAATTATATATTATCTTAAGCAATCCCTAATTATTATTTAGTACACATTTCTCCTTATAATCTATCTATTCTTTATTGAATTTAATTCTTAATATTATCTGATTCAATACAAGTTACAAAATCTCTCCTCATTAAATCTTAAACTTTGTTTATTTCTGAATGATCAATTTTAGAAGCTAATAATTATTCAAATTAATCTAGCCTAGTTTTATAGTTTTATGTTAATCTATCATTTTACAAGAGAATACCAGTATATTCCTTATACTTTTAATTCATTTCTTTAAAATTTATTCTCATTTGATTGTTCATCTCCCTATTCTATTTGGCATCCTCTAAAATACTTTAAATCTATATAATTCAATTTATACCTTTACATTTCATCAATCCAAGGTTAAATTTGCATTATACATACAGAATGTTTGTTAAGAATTTCATCATAATGAGAACTAAATTTTGAGTGTTATGATTCTATTGAACTCAATCTTTCCTAAATCTTTAATTATGAGTTTAGTATTTAGATAGTATCACTAATCAAATCAACTCTTGGATTATTTGTAATAAAAACATCCAATGCTGACAATTTTTATTACATCTTTGAAATTTGGTTAATGTGAGGAAGAATAGATTTACTCAGTTATTCTATAGATTCCTCTAGTTTTATAAATCGTTATTACTCATTCATTAATATTATAAATGTAAATCACAGATTAAAAGGTTTATAGAATCTTAAATAAATAAGATCCAAATGTTCCTACAGATTCTCTAATATAATTCATCAAAATGAGTTAAATTAAAGCATAATAAATATTATATTTTCCTATTAATGAAATTATGTGATTATTTTCAATGATTTTGTTTCAATATTATATTTATTTAAAGAATTTTAATCAAATAATATTATTATTTCTTTATACATAAAATATTATTATATAACATCACCTAGACTTAAAATCTTAATTTTAGAATAATATTAGAAGAAATAGCATTTTATACATTCATAGCTGAATTATATACATTATACTTAAAGATTAATTAAAACTATCAATAAAAAAATCAAAAAGGGATGTATTTCAATTCAAAAATTATGAATTTTATTTAAAGATAATAATTTATTAAATAATATCATCAAATTTTTAGTAATATCAAATGTTAAATTCATTAATACTACTAAGAGATACATCCAAAATTTTACTATTACAATTACTTTTACTCTAAATTACATATTTCTATTGATAGCTTTTTCTTGCCATTGCATATATTTAGCTACTATTCTTATAGCCTGTCTAAAGCACCATCTTAGAAAATGCAGAGTCACTATTTATGTATGTTGAAATCTTTGGATTTTGGACTAATAATTCATATGGATGTCCTTCCTCTAATACTTTGCCATCTTCTAAAACAAGAACTTTATCATATTCTGCTATTGTATTCAATCTATGTGCAATAGTGAATATAGTGCAATCATTAAATTTTTCTTTGATGATTTATTAAATTAAACAGTCAGTTATCATGTCAACATTTGCAGTCGCTTCATCTAAAATCAATATCTTTTTCTTATTTAACAGAACTCTACTTAAACATATTAACTATTTCTAGCCAATAGAAAAGAATTCTGGCTCTATTTAATGTTCCAAACCATTTGGTAATTATTAAATAAAACCTTCCAAACCTGTATCTGATAAAACATTTAATAAGGTTTTATCATCAAAAATTTAAAAAGGATCTAAGTTCTCTCTCAATGTCCCTTTGAAAAGAAAAGGAATTTAAGGAATAATACTGATTTCTCTTCTTAACTTATATAAATTAATTTTACGAATATCTTAATCATCTATTGAAATTACACTAATAAATATATTACATATAAAATACCCACTATTTTAAATAGAACTTAATCTAAAAAGACTTGCAATGACAGATGATTTACCAGCACCAGTTCTACCAACAACTCCAACTTTTTCTTTATCCTTTATTTCAAAATTCAATCCCTTTAATACTAAAGGAGTGTTTTCTCTATATTACATTGTAACATTTGAATAAACTATGGAACCTAACTTTGGCCAATTCTTAATTTTTAATTCCCCTTCTGATTCTTCTTTTTCTATTTCCAAATCACATATTTCAAACATTCTATTAACACTATTCATCATTGAATCAAATGCCATAAACTACCTTAATGTACCTGCTTAAGTATTGAAAGTTGAAAGTAGTAATAGTGCTTATGAGAAAATGGTAGGGTCTGATACCATACCTATAATCAAAAAGATACCAGATATGTTTGCAAACTACCCAAATAAATCAATATAAAATCCAAAACATCTTTGTGAATACAAAAATATTAAATTAGCTTACATAGATTAATTAGATAATTTTATAAATTTATCTCTTATCCATTACTAATTTTCATTAATCCTTATTTATGTCACTCCATTAATAGTAATTTTAAATTAATCAAATAAAGGAGATCTTTATATTAAATCACATATCTTTAATTAAGAGACAACTGATCTTGTGATTCTGAAAATTATAATTGTACTTATAACTGTGAATAAAGCAGCAAATGTAAAATATGGTTATAATATAGCTATAGTAACAAGAGATACTAAAAATTAGGATCCTTATTCAAATATATCAGTAATAGTTTATTATATTTAAGTATCTGCTAAAGATAAATCAGTTGAAAAACGATTAATCAATCTTCCAGAAGGGTTTGTGTCAAAATATGTAATTGGAGATAAAATTAAATTTGATAACATTTTATTATGAATATTATTATTTGAAGTAAGAACACCATATATATTTAAAAAATATTTTATGATATTATTGAAATATGCTGCTAGTACCAATATTGCTGCATTGTAAAATATCTAATCATTATCCTATTATTTTTCTTCATTAAAAGTAGCCATTTCTTTATAATAATAATTATTAATTATTTCACTAGCAATATTTTGACATAAAATTATAAATATTAAAAAGAATGGTTTCCAATAACTAAAATATCTTTTATAAGTTTCTAATGAAGCATCAGATTAATTTTAATCTTCATTAATATATAAAGCTTAAGTTTCATCTTTACTTGATTTTTATATCTAATTGACTATCTTACTAATTAATTTACTAGGTCTTTTTATTTTTAATGATCTAACAGGATTTTCAATATTACTATTACTTGTATGAGTACTTGAGATTTCTAAGACATGTTTTTTCATCTTATTCTTTTAACCCTAATGAGTAATCATACCTCCATCAATTATAACTATATAATCACATTCTAATGCATAAGAGATTTGATGTGTAGCTAAAATAACAGATGGAGTTTGTTATATGAATGCCTAATGAGTTTTTATTAAAGTAGGCCTATAATTAGGTTGAAATTTAAAGATAAATTCTTTAATTGCATTTTCAAAGATTTTTCCAGCAACTTTTGAATCTACTGCTGATAGAGGATCATCAAATAAATATAAATCTGCTTATGAATATAATGCTCTTGCTAAACTTAATCTTGCCTTTTAACCACCTGATAGATTAGCTCCTTTTTCACCAATTTCTGTTTTATCCCCTTGCCTAAAAGATAATATATCTTAATCTAAACAACTCACTTCCAATACTTTCAGATAGAGTACTTAATCATAATCTTTTCCAAATAAAATATTCTCTTTTATAGATCCTGTATAAATAAAAGGATCTTATTCAACATAAGCAAGTTTTAACTTTTTTTAATAAATAACACTTCCTTCATAATATGGTAATTCTTATAGTATAGCTGTTAAAAGTGTTGATTTACCTGCTCCTACTTTTCCTATTATTCCCATAATTTCACCAGATTTGATATCTAAGTTAATTGAACTAATAACAGAAGGACCATCTTTTGACCATTTCCCATAATATTGATTAATAGTAACAAGAGCTGTAGACTATAAACTTAGACTACCTTTACGATTGAGTCCTCTACTTCTATCATTTAATAATTATTGCATAGGTTAATTTTAGACATCATATGTAGTAAAAGTAGTTCTAAATTGTTCAGTTGTTGTAAAGTTATTGGATTATTATTTAAGTATTTCAGAGACTCTTGAAAATATTACACTAAAATTCATAATAGCTTAAAATGCATAAGACACTTGAAATATGCAATAATATTTAATCATTGACATGAGTTAGATAGTTCCCATAATAGTTGAAATAGTTAAATGAGTATTGCTGGCATACAATATTAAAATGAAACAAAAAGATCCCCAAATATGAACACTAAAGTTAAAAGAACGATCTAATAAATTTAAAATATGTATATTTAAATAATAGAAAAACTCTTTCCTTCTTATTACATTAATCTTATTTTCAAATATCTTTTCCCATACATACATTTTAATATATTTAATTCCCTCAATAACAGTATTTGTTTACTAATTTATATGATTTAAATCATACTTATATTCGTTGATCTTACAATTTTCGAGTTTGATGCAATAATTTCTTATTAATATTTTAAATCAATATTTATAAAGGATATAAAATGGCACAAAATAAAATAGCAACTAATCCTAAAGGACCATCAAATCTTAACTAAAATTTACATATTACATACCCATAAAATAATTGATGTAAATAATAATGATCCTGGTATAACAGCTACTTAATATATAAATGCTAATTAATATTCTATCACATTTAAATCACTACTAACAAGATTCATTATTTTTCCTACATTTAACATTGATATTTAAGTTGAATTTAATTCAATCACTCTATCATAAATTAAATTAATAAAAATCATCCTAATTTTAGTAGCAAAGTTACTTATCAAATATCTAAATAATGATTAAATTTTATACTATTGTTAATGTTTACTCATCAAAGCAAGTAATGAAAGAATTGCTAAAGCTGTAGCCTATAAATATGCACTTCTCATATCATTTTCTGTTACTGCTGAAATTAATGTTTCTGTTAAAATCGCCATAATGAACCTTGAATAAGTCTCAAACATAGCAAGTATTATTATAATAATTGTGACATACTTATTATCCTACCAGAAAAACAATTTAAAGAGAGCTCTATTATTAAAATTAAAAACATCCTAAATAATTTAAAATTTTTTTACATTATTTTTTATCTATTAATATACTTTTGTTAAATTATATTATATTGAATCTTCGTAGGCTTGTTTAGGTAAATGTGCTACACTGATTTTTTAAGTAGATGACTCAATAATTTGTTTCATTTATTTCATGTAACAAAAAATATGATAAAGGAATAATCTCTAAAAAAAATTGAAGTGTTAATAAATTGTATTGTCACTGAATTTGTGCTTTCGAGTTCCTTACACTGGAGAGTAGATACTTTTTATAGTATTAAGATTTTTATAAGATTTAATTGCACTTTCAATCTATGGTGAGTCTACTTTTTAATGTTATTTTGGTGTATTAAATAATTACGCTTCCACTTATTGACTATATTCTTAGTTACTAGAATTCCAAAGAATTTCTTTGTTTTAATTATTTCTACTTTTAAACGGACTATCTATTTCTTCTTCAAGAATAAAATTCAGAACAGCATTAGATTCTTGGTGATTAATATTTTCTTAAGATTATTTTTCACTAATATAGTCTTCACTATCCTCCTCTTTGATAATGTCACTATCGATGTCTAAGTTTCGAATCTTCACAGACACTTTTTTTTTTGAAGGTCTTTCCAATCTTACTCTAATATCTGTTTGTTAAGATTCTAAGTCTGTATTTGATGAAACACTTTCATCTGGCTTGGCTTAATTCAGGTAGCGAGACCTGCTCTCTTGAAATCTTTTTCTTTATTTATGAGTATTAGAATTTAACATTTGATGTTAAAATGAGATTTTAATTGATATATATATATATATTATAATAATAATGTTGTTTTTAAAATAAATAGAAGATAATAGACATCAAATATCATAGTTAAAAAATTTAATTGATTTGAATTTATTATACATAATAATCATATTAATAAATCGTTTATAACTTGGTTTCTAGCCTCGAAATTATATTCTGATTGAATTCCATTTCTTTAAATATAAGGTAGATTGTATTTTAAACATTCTTCATATTCTTATTGAAGTTATTAAAGATGAGGATTATTAATGAAGTCATTGTCTTCTTCCTTTTTTATACTTGGATGTGGTTCCATTTCATGTTATGGATTCCAATATTCTTATTAAATATTAGAATAATAATATTTCTATTATTCTAACATCATGTAGTAATATGGATCATGTGCTTCATAATTGGCAATTATATTTGCCTCTTCTTTTAAAATATTTGATATTAATTATTACCTGCTTTAGGTAAGTCTGTTTGAGGATTCTTCTTTTTTCTACCTGCTCTACTTCTTTCAGCTCGAGGTAAACGTTTTCCATTTTCTCCTCTCAATGCATATGGATTAAATTTTTAATGATGACTTCTACACTAACTTGGTGTTCTAGTACCAATTAGTTCACTCATTTATTTGAATATTTTTGATGTCTTTTTCATCATTGAAGATGTCATTATATCCTCATATTACTATAAAAAGGATATATAGGTTGTATGTTCATCAGTTGACCAATGACCAGTATTTATATTTTCTTTTTTTGGTTTTTTAATTTGAGAATGTTGTCCTTTCTATTTTTATGTCTATTAAGAACCCTCTTAAGAACCTTAGCCATCTTAATGCAGATTAGATACAATATCTGATTGAAGTTTAGGTAATGGACTACCTTATGTGTAATGAAACACTGGATATGGTTGTTTAATACTAAAATAATAATTAATTATTATACATTTAATCTGGTTGAATGATTATTTATTGTTGATCCTCAACAAACTATTTATCTGATTCTAATGTCTTAGGTAAAAGTCCCTTTGAATCGTTATTCCTTTTTCAATGAAATTAAATTCAATTACTTATGTTTTTTATTTTTTTTATTTTTTATTTGGCTTGGAATTTCATGTTCTTGTACAAACTCAAATTAATAAGGAGGAAAAGTTGGTGGATAAAAATTCTACTGAAATAAGTTAAACTCATTATAATTTGAACCTTAGCTCTATTCTGAATTTATTAGAATATTATCATACTTGCTTATTCAATATCCCCTTAGAATAAAACTTGTGCTTCATTCACATAAGGGAAGTAATTTTGATACTGTTGAACGTTCATCATATATATTTAGAATATATTTGTTTTACAATTTTTAATTATTATTAATCTAATAATATACTTAATTTATCAAGTTAAATCATCCTTCACAACCATTTATCTAATAGTCCTATCTAATTAATTATCCAAAAATAATGATTATTGAGGAAGCAACAATAAAAATCGTTTCATTAAATTGAATTCCCATTTAAAATAAGACAATATTTTAGTGAAAACTAATACAATGATTAACACAACCAAAATGATGAATATTAAATTTATTATCTAAAAAAGTTAATTGATAATTTACCAATATTTGAGAAATCAATTCATCAGTTGAATTCTTCAACTAATTTTAAAATTTCTGTTTCAAAACTGATATGGTATCATACAATATCAAACCAGCCTCGAGTTCTTCTTATGTTGTATATACTTTAAGTGCAAATCCATTTGTTTAATCATATTCATTTAGTAAACTGTTTCTTATAGTTGTACCAGCAGCCTAGAATCCTTTCCTCACAACTCCTTAATATACAGCATCACAATGACTTTAAGCCATCTCGATTTTGTTCTTGTAATAATAATATAAAAAACTTACTTCTGGTAAAAATTAACATACATCTGTGCTCATCATTAGATTCATTTCTGAAATGAAATCATCAGATGTAATATATTTAGATGTATCCATCTAAGCAATAAGAGATAAGAAATTGTTGATGATCTCTATTTGATCATGAAAATTTTGCACAAAAAATGTGGCATTTTTATCTGGAAAAAAGTAAAAGATAGTTTATAATGGAAACTTTTAATAATATATAACTTCTCTCATCGAAAAAACTCCACTGACAGCAATACACAAATTAGATAAGGAGTTAAAAAAAATAGTTGTATCTGGATACTTCTCAAAGTAATTTCTTCCTAAGGAATTTGTAATAAAACAAAAAATAAAACAAATTCCAAATAAAAATATAAATAAAAACATTGATGGCAATATTGACATCTTTTAATTTAAATTAGTAATTTAACCTTTTTGTTTTTATCTATTATTTTTTTAATTCTAGGCTATTTTTTCTTTTCTTATATCTTCTGCTGCTAAGAACTTTTCCTTTATATCAATATCAAATTAATATTTAAATAAAACATCAGAATCTTTTATTAATAAAGAGGCTATTCCTCTATATCTATCTATATCTCTTTACAACCATACTATGTCAATAAAGTTAAAAAGTTAAAGAAAATTATTATATTAATTTAGATATGCTTTATAAAATGAGAATACTATTAGTAATAATAACAAACAAACTAATACTATTGGAATCAAAAGGTAATTCCATTTTTCAGATACAGTACCTGATCTAGTTATTGAATAACTTACCATCTCTTCATTTAATAATTATAATTATTCTACAAATGTTTAATAATTTGCATATAGAAATACTAAAAACCCTTAAGTTAAATCTAAATTAATTAGATTAAGATAATCAATATTTATGAAATTATAGCAGGCCTCTAAATATAAATACATGGATTCTCTTGCTGATATTGTATAATTCATTGTTTCTGGATATTTTCCAACCGTAATATTGAAATATTTATTCTCAAAGAAAGGATTCAAATAAGGATTTGATAATTATTTTGTAAAACTATCTTTGAGTTCAAAGTATGTATAATTTATATCTCTAATTGAATACTGCATTTTTTCTATTTAACTTGCCATAGTAATATTAGGATTTATTAACATAAGTATAATATATGTTGTCAATGCATTCTAAGAAACTATATATTTATTGACTGGTCCAATAATATTAGATTTTATTTAAATTAAATCTAACTCCTCTAAAAATCTGTTTAAATCATCATTTGAATAATAGAGCATAATTCCACTATAAACTAAAAATAGACTTAACATGATTGTTAAAAATACTAACATTGCTTTAAATTTTTTGGAAAATTTAGTTGAATTGATTAATTTTTCAATTAAATCATATTTTTTTGAGTATTTTGATTTCTTAAATCCTGCAATTGAACTAACTTATGATCCAATATCATCAATATGAACAACTCGTTATTCTTTTGAATCCATTTACATTTGCATTCTAATATTTTCTTATAATTCCTAATCTATATCATCATATTAAAGTTTATCAATTTAATTATCCATCATTTGTTATTTTTTAATTTCACTACTTTATTGAAATGATGAAAACTATTCTTCTTATTCAATTTATTCATCTGATTTAAAGAATTATTATTTATTAATATACTGTTTTTTTTATATTGATGTTACATTAAAATCAGGATTTTTGTTTTCTATCAATCTTAATCCACTATCTTTAGGACTCATCATAGATTAATTTTAATAGGGTTATTAATAAGATTAATTCATATTTTTTTCATTAACTCTTAATTTATTTACATGATATTCAAATTAATCTAAATTATCTAAATTATCAAGATTTCCAGATTAATCTTCCAATCCATAAAGTTCTATTGCTTTAGGCATATTTACTGCAAATTCTGTATCATCCTATTCTAAATCAAAAGCATTCAAACTTTCAAAATCTTAATTTGAATTATATCCTAATGTCATTTATGGATCAGGAATTGTATTTTCTGATTTAGATTATTTTTTTATTTCTTTGATCTCAATTATTATATAATTCAATTCACTTTTAAAATTTCTGATATGTAAAATGCAATCCACTGAATAACTAATTAAATGATCTTAGTTATCCCAATTTATTTTTGAGTTGTTTCCCAAAATCAAAGCTGATGGAATATACATTTTCAAAGAATATTCACTAATTTAAGTTATATCAATTATATCTTAATTAATATCAGATGCTCTAGTAATATTAGCTTCAAGTATTAAGGATATTTTAGGAAAAACCTTACTTAATGGAACTTTTTAAAATGATTAAGCTAATTCTTTATTCAATTTATTGTTATAACCTAATTTATTGATAAAGTTTTTTGAAATTCCAGATATTTTATGATTAGATAATGAAAATAAATAAGCACTTTGAGTTTCAACATTTTAAAGAAAACAAGCAAATGTTAAATCATCTAAATTCATAAAATTAATATCATAGAAAAAATCTATTGTTTTTATAAATCTTTATTGATATTGACAAAAATTTAAATTTATTTATCTGAAATATTTTGATACTCCATGTTATAAAAAATTAGCAACTAATTTTTCATGTATTATTTCAAATCCTTAAGGTAGTATTGAATTGATTTAATATATCATTTTAAATTAATCTTATGATAAACCAAAAAATTAGTGAATCATATTTGAACCACTTCTAATTGATAATTTATGTGATTATTAATCAAATCCAATAATTAAATAATCAATTTTATTAGAAAATAAATCAAAATTTGTTTAAGATTACATTTTTAATAATTTTTCATCTGAAATTGATGCTATGGTTGCTATTTTATAAGCAGAAAAATAATTATTCATAATTTCAGATTAATAAAATGTATTTAATGCTTACATTTTTTAACTTGGAAATTAATCATATAATTTGTATAATTATTCTTCAAGTTCATTCATTTCAATAAGTAATTTTTTACCTGCTTAAAAAATAATAACATCATTACTCAATTAATTTAAATTATTGAAGAATTCCCTTTTCCTATTTAACATTTTAACTACTTTTTTTCTTAATTTTTTATTATTATCTTCAGATTGGAGAAATAATTTAACAGCATGTTCTAAATTTTCAGAAAATTAAGCAGATTACTTAGAAAATCCCATACTCATAGATTATTTAATCTATTCTTAAATTAAATTGAGTTTTTATTTTGTAATAAATGCCATATTATTTAATCTTATATGTATAGTACTTTATTCATTTTTATCACCTCCTATTTTAGATTTCTAAAGAGAATGACTTTTACCATCAGAACTATTATTTAATTCTTTTCTATCACTTTTTTGATAATTAAATTTATAGTTTACACCATGAGTAGCAGATGAACTAAATTAAATCTATTCACTATCAAGTTAAGCTAAAAAATTTGATTATTAAAAAGCTTTTGTATTCAATCCTAAATAATTAATAAGAGATAAATAATGTAAGAAATATGATTAACGAGCAGATTCATCTTTTGTTCTTGAAATTATTGCATCAAAATTCTTAACTTAATCTTTAAGAAATAATCCTATTGAATCTTCAAATGAAATTATTTATCTCTTACATAAACATTTAGAATCTTCACATTCATCTAAATGAGTTTATTTAAAATGATGAATATATGTCATTTTTTTAGTATCTTACAAGTAATTTGATTATAATTTACCATATTCATAAATAATATTACCAATTTTATATTATAACATATCAGCTGTAATTTTAGAACTATTCGTTACCATTAAAGATTCATGCATTTTAATTTGATAATTATAAATGATTACATTTAAAATTGGTGTAATTAATAATATTAATAACACATCATATTTATCTTATTCTTATTTAGAAACTTGATTAATGAATAATATAATGGCTAGTGTTATTTAAAAAAAATTGCATTATACTTCAATTTTTTATCGATGATGTAAATTGGGATAACTTTATATCAAAGCCCAAAAATTACTTAATTGTTTGACTATTATTAAGCTGAAAATTAGATAAAATTTAGTTATATTAGAACTATCCATTTAATCAATAACAACAATTATTAAATTCAATAAGGATTTCCAATAATTACTAAATGTAACTTATAATAATTATAAATTTTGAGGAGTAATAGAGATTGATTCTAAATTACAAAATAATTAAATCAAATAATTACCAATCACCAAAATAAGTGTCATTATTGAAAATGATAAATTAATCATATTAATAGATGAACTTTTTGTATTATAAAATAAGGAACTTAATGTTAATTCTGTCATAGGAATAATTGTAATATAATACATCAATGAATGGAAATATGAGAAAATTCTTAAAACTATTTAAATTAATCTATATTAAGTTTTTAAAAATTCACTTAATCTATGCTGTTTTTTGTTTTTTCCTAAATAAATGATAAACAAATATATCAGTATAATCTGATAAAGTAATGTAATACATAAGGGTATCAAATAACTCAATTATATAAATTCCTCATTTGAACTTAATTTTATTCGAGACGCTAAAGAAATTTCTCTAATAAAAGTAAAAAAATTGATTCCTTTTTTGAAAAATTCGTCTTGATAATTCAATAATAAAAAGCTAGATTCTTAAAGGGTGGAAAATATCAATACAATATTAATTATGGCGCTATTAAATGTTACAAAATAGTGTTCGCTAAGGATTCTGACTTAAATATAAAATTCAATAAATCTTTGATCTAAAGAACTTTTTTATTTTTGTTTCTTTTTTACTTACTTCATTAGATCAATCTAATAATTATCAACAATCTATATTTATTAAATTACATAAATATATAAAAGTTCATATTCTCAAACCTGAATAAAGTTTGAAATAATATTGCAGAATTAAGTATTTTAAAAAAAGAGTCCAACTTTTTCAATCAACTTATATGATTTACTGGAGATAGATAAACTAATAATTAAAAGGCTCTAGTTAACCATGAAGCTATTAAATAAAAAATAAAGCTAATGCCTTAGAAATTGTATATTTGAATTTAATATTAGAATGAATATAAAGTTCAAACTCATAGTAAATAAAATTGTAAAATACTTGTATATCTATTTTCAAGAGTTCAACATCTTTAATAAAATAAAAATAATGAAATAAAGATAGGTTAGATAATGAAAAAAATTACTTCCTTATATAAAACTTAAATATTTAGAAATATATATATTCTTAGACATTCTATTGCTAAAAAATAATATCTCGTAAAATAATAAGGGATAAATTTTCTAATCAAAGAAAGAACACTATGACTCTTCATTATATTGTTAGTCTAAATTATAAAAATGTATGAATTTAACTAACTACATACAAAATTTGATTGTAAACATATTTTCTTATGATTGTAAACTCTAAAATCAATAACCCACTAATTCTGAATTCCTTCTAGTCTAAAATACTAATTAATAAACTATTATCTACTAAAATAAGGTAATACAAAATAAGAGTAAGAGAAAGCACTAAAAATTCTTATATTCTTGAGAATATAAAAATAAAAATAAATAATTAATCTTCGTTATCACAAATAATAAACATAATATTTAGTTACCTGAATACTATTTAACAATTGAGAATAAATATTTAATTACAGCAATATATCTAATATTGTAATTTAGATGATTTATAAAAAACTTGATAAATGATGATTTATATATAAATTTTAATTTTAAAAGTATAATTAAATTAGTAAATATAATTAGTAAACTGATCCAAATATAATCTTTTTGTAATAAATAACTCATTAGATGAATATTAGTATTTTATCATCATCATCAGTTAATTTACAATTTTTTTCATCATTGTTTAATAATTCTATAAATTGCTGATTTTGATATAAATGTATATTAACTATATTCTACATTTCAATACATAAATTGTTTTAAATTAATTAAACAGAAACTATAAATTTTTATGATATTCAACAAATGATTAGATCGTTACAAAAAAAAGAAAGGATAAATAAAATATAGGAATTTAAAAACAATTTTTGTTCTAGATCATTCAAAATCTTCTTAATAATTCTTAATTTTTAATTCAATAGTCGACTAGAGGGAAAAATATAAAAAGATATAAGATTAAATAATGAGTCAGTAGTTTATAATTAATCGTTTTTTAGATTGGAGTAATATTCTCTTAATTAAAAATATAGATATCTTATAAAAAATACTTTAAATCTTTCTAACATTTATTTTATTAACAAATTGTGATAAATTTATTAAAATTTGACCTATTACCTATTAATCTTTTTATTATAAAATTAAGAAAATTTTAGAGCATATTCCTAAAAAACATAAAGCTAGAAAATATTTAAAAGATATGAATATCTTCTCGTAAAATTAGAAATGTCACAAGCTATAATTAAACTAAAAGATACTTTTAGAATGATTAAGATATGTTTTCCTTGTTTACATTTAAATTACTATGATGATTGTTTATAATATTATCCTTTGTATTTTATTAAGTATTTTCATTGAGATTCAACACAATTGCAATAGATATAATGATCATCTATATATGTGATTAAGGAATCTTAAGAATAAAAGAGAGTGGCAATAAATATCAAAGAAATAAATATATTATTTAATTAATTATGCAATGGATTAGAGACTATATGAATCTGATAATTTAGACAAATTTGTCACCATCATTAAATAGTGTCAAATTCATAACCTTTGAAATTCTGATCTACTATTTATAACTTACTCACTTCATCACATAATAGTATGATGAAAATGTTTTCAGATTGATTAAAAACATATCAGAAATATGTGTTCTGACTCCTTTGTTTTAAAATATCTATGTAGTCAATGTTCTCACTGGTGTATTGCTTACCATACTAAACTGTTTACCCTATGTAATAATATTGCATAGAAAATTAACAATTGAACATTCAAAAGTTTCAGTCATTTCCAAATCATTATCGCAGGTATAAGCAAACTTAAATTAAGTCTGCCACAAAGTTGGTGAATTGTTATTTCCTGTATTTCAATTGGTTTTTTTACTTACCTCAGATGCATTACATAGGTTGGAATTTTTTAAGTCAGAGTGACCTATTTCTAATAGTGATTTCAGTGATAATACTTTGTATATCTACAGGATCATTATTGATTTCAAATATCTACTTCATCAATTTTGAATTCAATGAGTAGTCATTAAGAAAACATTTTACTTATTATAATTGTTTTGCACAATTATTGATAATTCCAATGGCTATTTTAAATCAAAGTGATGATTCATTGTACTAAATGATTGGCAGAATAATACATGGCATTATTCTATTGATCTTGATATATGAGGCCTATTTCGAATTACCATTTGGGTAAATGTAATTGAATAAACTTTAGATTCTCAAAATATTCAACCATATACAATAGATTATTAATTATGCATATATTACTATTTATTTTCACATCTATTTTGTATTCAAATCCTGATCAAGCTTATAGTTCATTAGCTGTAATGCTAATTCTATAACCAGTCTCTTAATATCTCTTTTAAACATTAATTTAACATAAAAGATTAAAAACATATCATAATACTTTAAATTAATATTATGAATTATTAATAATTGAAGATTTCTTTGATTTAATATAGGCTGCTTAAAAAAGTAAAAAAAGAATTATTGAATTAATTTAAAAATTTAGTTTACATTTGAATCGTTGTTAATCAGTTAAATGTTAATGTAAAAAAATAGGAGCTGGAGGTGTTTTGAAATAAGAAGATGCAGTCATTCTAACATCTTGTTTATTTAGAATTGGTTTTGAAAAACATAGAAATGATTCTAAGAATTTAGAAATTTATAGTCTTAAATTTCTTACATTTATTAATAAATATAGAAATAATGCTCCAAAAAGTTATTAAGAGTTGAAGATTTTATTTTAAAAGAAACGAGAATATTCATTTTATTTTATTTAAATCTCTCTTCTATTATAATTTATTTTACAAGCTCAAATGTAAAAGGATGAAGATTATAATATCAATAAAGATACAAGAGTATCTAATGTAAAATTATAAGTAAGTAAAAGTGAAAGAAGTATTGTATAAACATTATATTAAATGGAATAACTTAAATAGAATTTATTACCTTTATTAATGTAGTTAAGTTAATTTAAAATTTAATTTTGGAAATAATATTTGTCTGGTAAATTTTAAAATTTCTCTGAAATTGAAATTGAAGTTAAAAAATTATAAATCTTAAAAAATTAAATTTTAAATCAAATTAAAATTTATCAACCAATTTTTTATACACATGGTCGTACATTTAATGTACAATTCCTTAAATATAGTGCTTTGATTGATTTACTCTTATTTAATAATGTTAGAAAATATTTTGAATAAGAAAGAGGTAATATATATTATTTATATTATAGAAAGAAGAGAAATATTATAATTGGAAAAAAGTATGAACTCTTTTGAAATAACAAACATTAACTTTTTTAAAGGAGAAGCCATATCTGTAAAAGTTTGTATTGCCTCAGGACCAAATATTGGAAAAGTTTTAAATGAAGTTATCTCACCTTTGATACCTAGATTTTTTGGGTTTCATCATTTTGATAATCCATTAGAAGCTTTCTTAGATTTTACTAAAGGAAATATTAATACTTTAATGCCTTCTTGGTTAGAACCTGTTCATGATGAAATTATGTAAAATTATATTAGAAGAGGAGGTACTGCTAGAATTGGTAAATACTTTTAAACTTTTGCAAAAATATATGATAAAACTTTGATAAGATGTTAAGTTTATTTAGCACATAATTTTAGTTAAAATTTAACTGATGATTTTACAATGATTGGTTGTTTGAAATCATTAGAAGAAGAATAACCTAAAATAATACCTGGAAAAGAACCTAAAAAAATTAAGGATCTTGCTTTTAAAGGTGCTTAACATATTTTATTTGATGTGAATGGAAATATTTTAGGAATTACTTAAGGATTATATAAAATGATTGATAGACTATAAAGAATTAAAAATACATAAAATTTTGAATCTTTAAAACATAATAGTCATGAAAAAAGTAAATCTGAGAATTCATCATTTGAGAGTGAAAGTTTTGATGTTTATTAATAATAATGGTCAAATTAGTTATTAAAAATAGATGAATTTTATTAAAAAGTATTAATATGGATGTTATTACCATTTGTTTCAAGAGAGATAGAATCTACTGGAATTGAATATTTGATGGATGGTGAAACCCCACCTAAAAATAGATATCCAAATTTAGTAGATCTAGAAAATAGCAATAATATTGTTAGTAATAAAGAAACATATTTATTTATTCCTGAGGATATTAATTTGTTTGTTTCTTAATATGAGAAAGTATTGTAAAAAATAATAGATGATTATCGTATTTAATCAAATAATTTCTCTTCAGGTAGTTAATATAAAGGTATGAAAAGTGAATACTAAGAAAGTGAGAGTTTTAGTGCTTAACAAAGTGTTTCTATATACAATGAAAAATTATGTTGTTTCTTTTTTGATTAACATTTAAAAAGTCATCAAGCTTTATAATTTGGTACTACTAGATAATCAGAAATGTAAAAGGTTTCAGTAAAACCATCCTCTTAATCATAGGTATCATTAGAAAGTGAAGAAAATAGTGAATAACTTAAAACTAAAGCTGAAAAAATTTATTAAGATAAATATACTAAATATATTGAAAAAATATCACTTTAAGATTTCAATCCAGTTCCTGTTTTTTATTCAGTTAATTATGAAGAATATAGATATAAAAAAAATGATATTGAATAAAAATAACAATTTTTTGTAATTGAATTAATTGTTAATGAATAATAATTATTAAATACTATGGGTTATAAGAGATAAGTTAGAGAAACTATTAAATAAGCATGTTTAAATTTTTAATCTAAAAAACTCTTGATTGAATAATAAATATAAACTGAAGATTCTAATAGTGTTTAAAGTAATATCAGTGAATAAAGAAGTGATCATGATGGAGAAGTAATTAATTACATGTTTCCTACTCATCCATCTCATTATTATGAAGATTTATATATTCATTCTCCTTAAAAGGATTAAGTTTGTAATTAATTTAATTAAAATGATAATAAATATTTATTTAGTAGTCGTAGTGATGAAAATGAATTGTAAAATAAATAAAGTGTAAATACATAAGAGTCACTTATGAAAGGATCTTAGAAATTGAAATTTCCAGAAAGGAATCTTGCTTTAAAAACAATGAACAAATTTATGGATAAGAAGAGATAATAAGATTTTTTTAATGAAACAGATTCTAAATTGGCTATTGATAGTAGAGCATCATAATAATAAATATATGAAGAACATTAAGTTAAATATTCTGAAAATCTTAAAATATTTGATTAGAATTATAAATCAATACATTCTAAAATGGAAGAATTTAAAAATCCTACTTCATTTAAAATTTAAAAATATCTATTATATTTTGTACTTTTTTTGATAATTGGATACATTATTCTATTAACAATAGCAGTATTTTAATAATACAATTTTAATGAATGTTTTAATTTAATTGATTTAATGTTATCTACTCAATAAAGTTATTCATAAATTACTCATGGCCTCTATCATTTAGAATTAGCAAATTAATTTAATATCATAGATACTAATTTAAAAGAATTCTATTCTTTATAAATTGATTATAATCTTTAAAACTTAATCAATTTATAAAGTGAATAATTGATATATATTAATTAAGTTAACTTTAGTGTCAATTAATTTTATAATATTGAATACTAATTGATTCTTAATCCTACTTTATAAGAGACTATTTAAATGAGTTTAGCTTAATTTTATAAAATAAAAAACAATACATTAAATAATTCATAAGTTACATTAATTTCTATTGCTAATTTAAAGGAAATAGGATAATTACCTAAATTAGCATATGATAATTGTTATGATGAAAAAGTATAAAATGAAGAACAAGTCTAATCTTTATTAACAATTTATATGTTAATTATTTTCTTTTTAGTTATGCTATTATAATTTTTGTAAGTACCTTTAATATCAAAATTAAAGAATGATCATAGAAGATTATATAAAATTGTAATTAAATTATAAGTTTATGAAGTGCAAGATGAAATTGAAACATATGAACATATTCTTTCAATATTTAAAAAGTCATTGTATGAATGGATGTTAATTGATTTTGTATAAGAAACTCGAATGTTCTAGAATAGTATTGATAATATGTAATTTTAAACATAATAATTAACTGAATAAAGTTAGAATCTCTTGCTTAATAGTAATAATAAAAAAAATAAGTATAAATTATTAGAGAAATTGAAAAAATAACACATAAATTAATTTAAATACATTATAATATTGATGATTGGATTAATAGTAATACTTGCTTATTTTTTAATTATTTTCTTTGTAATTTTTATACTGTCTTAATAATTATTTGCAAATGCAAACTTTCTATTCAACTTTAAATTAATCCAATCCTCTTTTATTAATATTATCAATAATATTGATTTAGTATGCTATAATACATATGATTAAAATAGTTTTATGAATATAATGAATTAAGAAGAATTTAATAATTATGCATTATCATTAAAAAGTGATTAGTAAGATTAATATATAGAATTCAATAATAACTTCGCTTCTATAGTGAGTGATGAATAATTAAAATATAATTTATAATAAATAAATGAAAATAATATATGTTTAGATTAGATTGGAATTATTTGTAATGAAACTTAAGCTTATTAACTCAATCCCAATATATTCTAATATTATTAACATGGTATGAAGTATTTAATTACTTAAATTGATAAATTAATTTAATCCTAACCACATTTCTTCTATAATAGTTATAATAATAATAATACTTTTAAATAAGTATAAGACTTTTTATTGAGTAATGATCATATCATATATATTGATTATGGAAGTGAAGTCTTAACTAAAGCATATGCAAAATTAGTAGAAACTGCATATAAAGCATTTGATTAAGCATTAAAAACCTATAAATAAACACTAATGATATTCATTTTAAGTGTAGGAATGCTTGGGTTGCTTATTATTTTGATGTTGGGTAAATTATTGCTGAATATGCAATAAGATTCAATTCGTACTTGCTAATCCTCACTTCTTCTCATTTCTCCTAAAAGATATTTGAATCAAAATATAGCATAGTTAACATAGAAAAAAAGATGAATGATTATATTAATCTTTTTTAACCAGTTATAAAATAATAGTATTTATTATATAAAATCTATATTCCTAAAGAAATTCAATTTCACAATCTAACATGTGATATTATTAATTAATTGTAACAATATTTTAATTAATGAACCCGACTTTCAAATAATCTCAACAATTAGAAAATAACAGTAATATTATGGGAAGTAGTGCTGGATTTAATAGAAAAATTAAATTAACCTCTTAGAGACCTGGAAGTAGAGACTAAAAATTAAAAACAGGAGAAATGTATTTTAAAATATATTTAACTAAATAGATTTCCATAATTTTAAGATCAATTAGCTACAAATCCATTTAATTTGTTAAGTATTAACCTCTATTAGGATGAAAATACATTTATTACAACTTTGAAAGCAGAACTTCTATAAATACAAGAAGAAATCAATAAATTAGATATTGATGGGCGTGTACTAATAAACAATTCATCTTTAGATTCGAAATAATGACCCAAGACAAGAATATAGATTACAATAGGTTAAAAAATGGGTTGCTTAATATTCATCCTCTAAATTCACACTTGAAAAATTAAATAATATTGATATTTCATAACTCCTAACTGTATTAGATGTTAGAACTTTAGAGTAATAATTTTAATGCTATTTAAGGTAAGCTGTTGTCAAACTCTATAAATTCATATCTATTATGGATAATTTAATAATGAAAATTACAGAATATGAGGCTGTTCATTTAATCAAATTTGATGAATTATTTACTTCATTATGTCCTAATCATTAAGAAAATTTGCAATCAATATCTGTTTTAAAATTTCCAGTTTCTATTGCTAATTTAAATCGCATGACTGAATTATATTAAGTTAAATAAGATAGGAATTAGCCATAAAAGATAATAAATGATAATAGCAATAATTAAATCTTCCTTAAATAAATTAAGTAAAAAGATGACTAAATAATTGAATTAAATACAACAATAAAATAATTATAATTATAATTGTAAGTAAGTATGAAGGGAAATAATAATAATAATAATAATAATAATAATAATAATAACAATAATAATTAACATTCTATAGAATAAATATTATAAATAAAAAATGAATATGAAATCAAATTACAGAAATAGAGCGAGATTTTAACTTAAAAAAATGATAAAGAAATAGAAATTTTATAATCATAAATTGAATAATTTTAGAAATAATTAATATAATTAAAGAATTATTATGAAAAATAAATAGCTGATTTGATATAATAAAATTAATAAGAATAATTAAACACAAAATCTTAGTATGAAGATAAATTATAATAATAATAATAATAATAATCATCATCATCATAAATTTAGACATAAACATAAATATAATCAAATAATGTTGAAAAAGATCATAATTATTATCAAAAGATTTTAGATAAAGCTTAATAAGAATATAATGAAAGATATCAAAATTTAGAAAATGTAATCTTATTTATACAATATAGGATCTAATCAAATTAAGAAATTAATTGTTAGAAAAATAAACAATAATTGATAGTTTATAAAGAGAAGTTTAATAATGGAAAGAAACAGCTGATAGATTAAATAAAGTTAAAGTATTTTCAATAAATATAATTAGGATGAAATTTATCAACAATTTTAAAAGAGATATACAACTGAAGAATAATTTTCAAATTCTTATGAAGCAGCATTAAAATTAGAATTTGAAACAATGAAAAAAGCTTTTGAATAAAAAATACAAAAATATTAATAAGATTTAGATTAATAAAGAAGAGAAACAGGAAAATAATTAAATGAAATACGTATGTAGTTAGAAAGAGAATAAGAAACTAAAAAATTATTATTGAATAAACTTAGTTTATATAGTTGAAATTCATATATAAAAATAAAAAATATATAAATAGTCTAAATTAGATAACATATAAAATCTAAATTCAATTTTATGAAGAAATTATATAAATAATATCTCAAAAGATAGATAATTATAATTATTATTCCTATAATTTTTTGCTATTTATAATAAATTTAAATTATCTCATATCTTTAATAAGGAATCCAAATAAACTTTTAAAGCTTAACCTGCAAGTTTAGAATCAGGAATTTTTTAGGTTGTACCATATAATGTTCCCATTTCTCCACCCTTTTTATACTCTTATGGATTTGCTTTAATCTTTAAAATAAGATTCTTATTACTTTTTCAATAGCAGCCTTTATATCATGTACATATTATTTTAGATTTGATACATTTTATAAAGTTAGACTAATATGAACAGCAGCTGGTTTTTATACACTACTAATAGTCCAACCTTAATGAGTTAATATTTCATGAATGGCATAAACATTTAACCATTATTCTTTGCTCATAAAAGTAACACAATTTATTTAAGGATTTCCACAAACCTTAAGTTCTGGTATTTCTGATATTTATTTTGCTAAAGATTATGTGGCATCCATAATTTTCTTACTGTATTCAATATACTTTTTCTTACCAATAGATTACATAGTGAACCATGCACCAGCAACACCAACTCCACATTTAGATCCTTATATGCTTGGAACAGCATAGGCTCCACCTGACCAAGTTGCAATAGAAAAGAAAGCATGCTCACGTAATTATTTAGTTTTAAATAGAACAGTTGAAACTCCTTTAGGTGCTAAACCATGCTTATGTTAATCACACGAGATAGATGTGACTCCATCCAAAGTAAAATCAAATTTTCCTAAATCTACATTATGATCTTTTGCAAATATAGCAGTAAATCCTCCTAGACATGCATCTATATGTAATCCAATTTTCTTTTTTTTTGCTATGGATGCTAATAATTCAATAGGATCTTATATTCCATAGGCAAAATTAGGAAAAGATCCAACAATGCAAACAGTATTAGAATCAATATGTCTTTTCAAATCATTCACATCTACTTAAAAAGTTGTTTAATCAACTTTAGCTATTCTTACTTATATCTTAAAATATTCTCCTGCTCTATAAAATGCTGCATGTGCTGTTTCAGGTATGACTCTAAAATATATTAAATATTAACATATTTGGTTGATTTATTCCTTTTTATGATTCTCCCCAATTTCTATATGCTAACATGGCTAAAAGGATTGATTCTGTTCCTCCAGTTGTAACAATGCCTATACCTTCTTTTTCTTATCCAAATAGATCTCCAGTCATTCTAATAACTTCTGCTTCCATTTGCCTTGTTGCTGGCCACAAATCAGCATGCATTGGATTTGAATATAAGAAATGCTTACAAAAATCTTGTGCATTTTTTATAAATTATTTATCTGGCATTACATATAATGATCCAGAAACTTTACCACTTCCATAATGTTTACTATCTCTTTCTATCCAATCATTTAATTTTTCCATCATAGATTCAGTATCAATTCCATTTTCAGGAAGCTTTAATATTTTTTTTGATGTCATTCTCTCCATTGAATCACTAAAGGATTATAATGCATTAGCTTTTTGTTTTTCAATATATGAATTAACCCCAGGACAATAATTTACAAATAATAAAAATATTTAAGCTTTAAGGTATCCAAATAAACCTATATATGTAAGAGATATCCATACTTTAATTATATTCTTTGTTTGGAAATTTGAGATTTCTTAGTGCCCATAATCCAAAAACACTTAGAATTGATACTACTACAACAGTATCAAAAATATCTAAAGAGTTTGTATATTTTTGTAATGGTGTTTGTTTAAAAATCTCTTTAATAAATTCTTTAAAGAGCTTGTATTCTTGAATAACTATAGGTAATAATTATTCCATTATTAAAATAAATCATTATATTTAAGTTGAATATTTTCTATCTTTCCTGGAAATAAACTAGGTGTCTCCATCCTTTTTTTGATTCATTATTGGTGAAAATAGTATATATGGATTAGAATTTGCGTTAGAACTCTATGTAGTTTCCTTAAATAAATCACAAGGTTTCTACGACTTTATTGTTTTAAAAGAATTCACTGAAACAAAGTCTGATATCGAGTTCTCCACTAAAATGAATAAGGTATAACTTACTTTCAACAAATTAAATCAGGAATTACTATAATTAATCAATATCTTTAGATTTCTCGAATAATGTTATAGCATTCATAAATTTGCCATTTTCTTTTGTGATTAAATAATCTTTTAGTCGTACATTATAAGTACCTTTTAGTATGCCCTTTTAATCAAGAGAGATTGTATTATTCTAATAGAGAGTATAGATTAAGTATAAAATTCTTGCCTCAGTGGATTCAAATTGATTCATATAAATTATAAATTATTTATAAATTTACTCTCTTCTAATAAATCAAGATTTAGTATTACTAAAGATGAGATTAAATAAGTAACTTTAAGGATTTAGATTCTAAATTAATTTTCTTATTGTATTTCTGTTTTAAATAAAAAAGTTTTTATAATATTCTATAAAAATATCCTATATCTTCAAGCTGTTTCATATTAAGAAATTGAATTGTTTTCAACTAATAATAACTTAAATTTTATAGCCAAAATTATAAATATACTAGTTCCTATAACAAAATTGATAATATTTCAATTCAATTAAAGACATTAATATGGATTTTTAATCCCTTATTAAACCTTTTCTATCATCTATTCTCTGAATTAATTTAAAGCAACTCTTACATCTTTGCACTTTTTTATAGCAATTTCTATAAATCATATTTCATAATTATATACATTCAAGAAGTGGCTAAAGATCTTTTAATGCTCTATCTTTTACATCACCAAACCAACTTTAAATATAAATTCCATTCTCTGGTTATAATTAAAAGTTTTCAGGCATATTGTCAACAATAATAACTTTGGATAGATTTTTATTTAAAATTGACAGATCCTTGAAAATATTTTATTTATTAATACTTTAATGTAAACTTCATCTTTAAAAACAGTTTAATCTCTATAAAGTCTTTATTATACAACTTCATTTTTATCAATTATATCAATAATAAAATTTGCATAATCTGGCAAAGCTGCTGTAAAAATGACAATCTCATAATATTTTGATAATGTTTCTAAAAATTCTTCAGCGAATGGTCTAACTAAAAATTATCCACCACCTTTTGGAAACTAATTATTTTATAATTTAATTACTTCTTGATAATGCACCAATGTTTCATCTAAATCTAATACCAATGTATACTCTCTTTATATTATATTTCCCGTCTTTACCATTTTTTAAGGAATCAATTTTTCTATTAAATTACATAATTTTCTTTATTGTGAAAGAAATTAATCTAAAGTATTTGCTATATTAGAAATATTCAATTAAATTTCGGGACGAACTATTTCGTCAATCCTTTTAAACTATCATATTGATTAAATAAATTACATTAATCCTAAAATGGACTTGATAATAAAGTTATTTTTTTATAATCCCTAGCTTCCTTTTGTACTTTATTTTCTAGAATTCTAACTTCTTAGCTCTATTCTTTGTTTTATAGAATTTTAAATCTAATTATTAGTCATGGTTCCCTACAATACTTAAAAGACATAAAGATTGCTATTCAAAATATATTAGATAAGATTTTTGACATTATGGTCTTCATTACCATCTTAATCTTAAGATTCACTAATTAATATAAAATTGGCTTATGATTCATATAATAATGTTTCTAGTATTTTTGGTTCTATTTTAAATAAATATTCACTCTATAAAATAACACAAATATAATACATTTTATTTTTCATTAATCAATATGATTAATTTTTATAATTAGTCACTTTTTTAAATTAAATTTGAATAAGTTGAATTTTCTATTGAATGGAAAATGTCATACCATAATTATTCTTTTTCAAAAAGTAATTTAATTATAGTTTATTAAAATGTTTAATCATTAAATTAATTATTTGAAACATCTCCTTTTAATTTTGGAGAATTGAGAGGAGAAATATTAATAACTTTTTCAATATTTTTCTTACTTGAAGATTATTTAGATTAAATTGTGTTATCTAATTTTTATTTTAAACTATTAAAAGATTCTAAATATGATTTATTAATCATTTGTGGATAAGATTTTTTAGAACTGCTATTTTGATTTTTTGTATTCAAATGTTAAGATGTATTTTTCTAATTGCTATTTAAGAGCATATTAATTGTATTAATATTTTCATTATTAATTGTATTTTAACGTATTGGTGTGGAATGTTTTTAGTTATTCTATTTATTTAATTGACTAATTGTATTTTAACAACTTTTTAAATTTCCTTTTGAATTTGAAGAAGATTAATCATTTTTCTTATTGTATTAATAATACAGATTTTAGAAATATCTATGATCTAATTCTCTATTTTATTCTGGAGCTATAAATGTTGATTTTAGAAATGTTTCATTATTTTTAGGAGTATTTGATTTCACTAAATTACCTGTACGACTTGAAACTAAATATATTAAATATTATATACATTAACCATCCCCTTTACTATCACTTATCTAATTTTCTTTTTTTTTAAGTACATTTTATCCAAACAACTATGTTGTAGCTTTGTTAATTTCATCCTAAACCAAATTGTTTAAAAATTATTTAACTTTTTATGGATTAGAATAGTCAAGTCTAGCTGTTTATGGCCTATTATTAGGGTTCTTAGGAGTAAAATCTATTTTGATAATTAAAATTCTTACTTCTATTATCAGGTTGATTTTCTTTAAATGATCCACGGGATTTATTTGAGCATGATGATACATCAAGTATATTTAAGTAGTCTGATGCTTTTGAGTTAAGTTTGCTACAAAACATATTTGAAATTGTTAACAGATTTAATTAATTTCTCAAATAATCCAATTTCAATGAATTTATTACTTATATAAATGGACCCTTTATAATATTTCATTTCCTTTCATTTTCATAATCAATCTAGATCATCTCTAGTTTATAGAATAATATAAAAATTAAGTATTCTAAAAAAACACTCTTTTTATTTTAGAATTTAAGACTTTCTATAATTGATTTCCATTATTTATTAAATTATAGGAATTTAATAATTGTTAGTAATATAATTGTATAAAGTAAGAATTAATTACAAATAAATTGAGTCAGGCATCTAATACGAATTCTTCTATTTCAGTAAGATCAATTACTTGAGTTCCATAATGTTTTTATTTTGTCAGAAATTAAGAACATTCATCAGAATTAATGAGTTTATAATTACTAAACAAAATGAACTATCTATTTACCTGCTTAATTCCTATAGAAACTATTGAATTCCGATTGCCCTTTTTTTTAATGTATCTGGAGACAAGTTACCAAATAAATGTTTAGATGGAAATGTTAATTTGATGCCAAAAAGTTTTTTAAGTTTTTGATAGAATTGCCACAGTGTACTATAGCGTATTTCCATAATCCATATTTTTCCTTATTCATTTACTTACACCTAGAATATTGATAAAAATGAAAAAATACTTGATATTCAGCAAATGTTTTATGTATTTTTACTGTTTGCATCTTAAATGTAACATATTAGATAGATCTTTTCCTTTATTTTTTGAGAAATGATAAAATAGGTGGACTGTTAATGTTTAAATTTTATTCCTAATTAAGTGAAATATCTGATATCATTAAGCATATAATACTCTTTAATTAGATGAAAAAATAAATAATAAATCATTTAATGTTAAAGAATTATTTATTTCCACAAAACACATTTTAATTCTATAAAATAATCTTATTTTTACAACAATATTGAATGTCCAACAATAATATCCAAAATTTGAATATTAAACTTCTAGAAACATAATTTCTTTAAAAAAATATAACAAAATATATATTTATCAGAATTATTGTTATTCTAATACATTTTCGAGTAGATTATATATATTCTTATAAATCATTAATAAAATAAACAAAAGTAAATAGTTAATAAAGGATTTGCCAATCATATACAATTATTGATGTAGAGTTCTTTTTTTCAAAAATTAATAAAACAAATAATACAGTTTTAGTAAATTAAGGTATAAAGCAATAATTTCTATTGTATTATTCTAATTGTTTGAATTATTTTGTTAGATGTCAAAATTTATAGAGATTTTTAAAAAGTTAACTTTTTTGATTAGAAATAAGAAAAAAAGACTGATAATACTTATAATAAGGGAGCATTAACTTATATTAATGGTAAAGATAGACTTAAAAATTAGTAAACTTATTATAGAACTATTAACCATTAAAATTATTTTATTTTATTATAAGTCATTTATATAAAAGTAGATGAAGTAATATTGAATATGTAGTCTGGAATTAATTTTGATAATATTTATAATTAATTTCAGAATATAAGACTTTAGTATGATTTGTTACATTATATATATAAAAAAGTATATGTAAAATGTATATATTTAAAATAGATCAGATCAAAGAAAGAAATATGATTGATTAAGTTTTATAAATTTTTAAGTAATTTAATTAAGTTATTATCTTAGTCTTCGAATATGGGAGGAGCATGCTCTGGAAAAAAACCATAGCCAAAATAGAAATAGCAATAATAGGAATTAAATATAGTTGAATAACCATATTTGCAAGTGCAATCAATTAGTTAACCATAATCAAGGCCACCAGAACAAAGAAGTGAAACTGGGTAATCTGTTAAGGAATTACTTTATTAATATAAAAAATTCACAGATTTCTTAGGATTAGTAGGTAATTTGGATCATTTGCCAGCCCATACTAGAGAATAATTGAATAATTGTATAATTTAGAGATCCAATATAAATATACTTATATAGAATAGTATTAAAAGAATAATGAGAGAGTAAAAAATAATAAAGAGAGTAGAAGAGAGTGATTATTATTTAATTCATAATGATGAGAAATTTGCCATTACATTTGTGTAAATAATGTAAAGAATATCAAATATAATATTGACTGAACTTCAATAGGATTCAAATTTTTAGGAAGCTTTTCCAATGTTGATTGTTTCATTTGTTGATTTAGCAACATAGATAAGTAAGGAAATAGAGAATTTCTAAGATTTCAAAACTCATCCAATCAAACAATAGAATACTAAACATCAAATTTCTTAAGATAATTATTAAGCATCAACAAATAAATGATTTCTTTGTAGTAGTGATTATATCTATAAATTTAATATTTAGAGATTAATGTAATATATTGATCTCATCATAGTGTATCTTCACATTTAAAATTCTATATATAAATATATGAAAATTAATAATTTATAATTAAACATTATATTAAAAGAAACTTATTGATATTTTTCATATATATTTTTACAATGAAAATATGTTTATGGGATTCATAATTAATTCAAGATAGAAATGTTCTTATATATTAATAATTTATAAGAAAATACAAATATAATTTATTAATAAATGGACTAAATTATTACAAGTGTTAATACATTTACAATAAAAGATAAAGAAATAGAAAATAACTTAAAAGATTTACTTGATAGAATATTAGTCTATGTAGAGAAATATATTGAAACAAAAGAAGAATTAAATTAAATTGAAAATGAATTGAAAAACTACTAAAGTTCGTCCTAATTAGTTGGTATTATAAAAGTAATATTTACTAAACTAATGCTGAAAATAGAAAAGAAATTGTTGTAAGTAAAAAATTATTATACAAAATCCAAAGGAAATTGGATAAAAGCAACGATATAAATAATTCTTAATTCTATTAAAATGATGAAGAATATGATAAATTAGAATAAACTATAATTAAATATGAATAAGAAATTCGAAATCATATTAGTGTATTTATTTTTATTATTATTTTTAGATAGAATAATAATTAAAATTATTTGCTGAATCTATTTAAAACAAATTGGATGATAGTGAATAAATTAGATAAGAATTATTGGAAACAACTAAAACTAATATAAGTGTAAATACATATTTATTATATTATAATAGAAATTGAAAAGAGAAAATTAAGAATTAAGTGAAAAAGAGAAATTATTATAATAAGAAGTAAATAATTTAAAGTAAACTATTTCAATTTTAGAAAAAGAAAACAAAAGAAAATCTATAGAAACTAATTAAAGAGATTATTTATAATCTTTAATTAATAAATAAGCTAATTAATAATTAGAGCTATAAAAAAATAAACTTAATCAAAATTTTTATCTGGATTCAAGATAATTAAACTCTCATTCTGAGCATTAATCAAATCCATAATAATTTTTAAAAGAATAATAAGAATTAATAATTCCTACATAATAATCATCTCAAAAATTAAATAATTATAATATTATCAATAATATAAATACCAAATAAAGATAAGAAATAAATAAATCAATTCAATAACAAGATTTTAACAATATTTATAGTTAAATAATGAGAAATAAACATAATTCATTATCATCAATAAATGATCTAATTTAAAATGTAACATAATAAGATAAAAAGCGAAGTGATTAATTATAATCAATCTTGAAGAATAGCTCCTAAAATAATAGTATGATTTAGAAGAATAGAGGTATTAATAATTGTTTAATAATCAAAAGTATATTAATAAATTGAATCATTGTAACTCTAATAAAGAAGTAAAAGTTCTAAAAGAGCAGATGACATCATTAAATATTAAACATTAGAATCTTTAATAAAACTAAAGTGATTTATTCAATTTTGGATTAAATAATTTAAATTCAATCATATTTCTTATATTATTTAAACTTATTAATATTATTATTAATTCTATCTAATTATTCAAATGATATATTAAATATAAAAATATATATATATTTGAAAATAAGGAAAAAATATTTTATCATTAGCAATAGTAAAATAGTAAAATAGTATCAGTAATATTAATTATATATAATATATTAATTAGAGTTTTTTAAAGATATATATCAAATGAATTAAAATACTTTCTGCAAAATAGGAATTAAAAATATATAAAAATCAAGAATTTTATTAAATCTAAACTGAAATTTGATTTCCTTTGATTTCTTCATGAGCTTGCTGTTATTGGGAATCCTAAAGTGCAAAATTATTGAAAATTTATTCAATTGATGCCTATTTTATGGAATACTATGAGATTCTATTTTATTTTTTCTAAATTTATTAATTAAATAATTACATTTTGTTCAAATCCTTCAAAAAGTTTGCTAACAGTTATTTATCCAAGTAGTCTGAATCTATAGAAAGTTTAGAAATGTTCAATGATTTCAAATTATCCAAAACTTTACTGAATAAATTTCTACAATAGATCCCCCATTTTCTCTACTATAACATATTCTGCAAGTGTTTCAACAGCTAATCGATTAGGTTTTCTAATATCATTATAAATATGTGATCCAGAACCTTTCATAATGATTTGTTATTCTAAATGACTTGAATTAATTTTTCTTAATATATCAACAGTAGTATTTTAATCCAATCTAGAGTTATTTTCTAATCCCATTTATTAGATTAATAGTTGAATCTCATTTTTTTATGGTTTTTCTAATTTAACTTCAATTTCATATCCTTTACCAAATTTACTTTTAATATGTTAAACAGATCCAAGACATCTGAGATTACCACTAACTTGAATAGCAATTTTAGTTGATAATGCTTCGGCTTCTTCCATTGAATGAGTAGTCAAAATGATAGTACTTTATTTTCTTTGAGTAGCAATTCTTGAAATAACATTCCACATAAATCTTCTTGCTTCTGGATCCATACCAGTAGAAGGTTCATCTAAAAATACAATTGGAGGATTTCCTATCATAGCAATAGCAACTGATAATTTTCTTTTATTTCCACCTGAAAGTTAACCTGATTATATATGTTCAAATCTCTTTAAATCCATTTCATTTAATTTCTTTTCAACTAATTCTTCTTTCCTCTAATATGGAATTCCTTTGATATCTGAAAATAGTTCTATATGTTCTCTAACAGTTAGATTATCTAAAAGAGCATCAAATTAAGGACAATATCCAATATTGACTCTAGCAGCTTCTAATTCATTAATAACACTCTTGCCTGCAATAAATGCTTCTCCACTAGTAGGCTTTAATTCTCCTGATAATATCTTAAAAGTAGTAGTTTTACCAGCTCCATTTACTCCCAATAATCCAAAAACTTCACCTTAATCAATTGCAAAACTAACTTAATCCACAGCAACTTTATGTTTACCTTCTCCCAACATAAATACTTTTCTTAATTCTTTAACAAGAATGGCTTTCTCATTTGGCCTAAAAGTTTCACATAATTATTTTTCTTTAGCTACATCATCATCTATAGGTTTTGGAATGTAAGGTATACTAGATTCACTTGATCCAAATTTCTATAATTATCCATTATCCTCAAAGTATTCTATAATAAATATGCATATCAAATAAAATGCTCCCATTATTGCAAGCATTAATACATCTCCACCACTTACTTCCATATCATAAGTACTTTTCATTTCAGTCCATCCCTCCATAATCATATATATGTCTTTAGAACATGCATTTAATATACCATATGCAAATGAAAAAGATGGAATTAATCTAAAAATCCATTATAAAATAGTAGCTACATCTCTTGTAGATGAAATCAATCTCAAAATATAAATTATTAAACTTATAATTGATCCAACCAATAAATGTATGAAAAAGCTTAATAACATTGCATTTCCTTATTATTTGAAGGCAAAACTAAAGAAATAACAAAAAGGAATTATTGCCCAACCATATAAAAAGAAGATCAACCATGAAAATCCATAATTTTCTCCTTCTATTAAAGCTGAAATATCAAAAGCTAAAATAAGAAGACAACAAACAACAGCTGGAATTACATGCTTTCCTAAATCCATTAACCAATTACTAAACCAATATGCTTTTACAGAAACTCCTGATACTAATTATTAATGTTTTATATTAATCTCTCTTTCTTTAACAATATATGATATTAAAGATGCTGGAATAAATGCCATACCCATAGAAAATACAAGAGCAGATAAGAAACCTGCTATTGCTTTTGAACCATTCAATTCCTCATAAGTTTTCCTCAAAGGGGAATTAGTAACTTTGATCTAATAATTATTATTATTAGTAGCTTTTCTTAAAATTGCTTAATTCATTTAATTTTATAAAACAATTGGAGCTTCCCTAAATATTGTATTAACAAACATATAATATGAATATTAATTATTTGAATTACTGGTCAAATAATACCATCCAATATTTGATCTTAAATCAAAAGTATCAAAGTAATTTTAATCCATGTTTTAAAGATTAATTAAACTATCATCTCCAAAAACTTAAATGGATGAATTATACATTTCTAAATTAATTTATGAAAATAGAGATTAGTCATTTAATCCTCCCCATAAATATTAGATTCCATTACCATAACATTCAGATGGAGGAGTTAAAATAATTATATTTGGTTCAGTGATAAATTCTATTGTCATTAAAATTAGACCCAAAAGTACAACCAAACAAGGTAAAAGGATTTCACAACATAAACTCTTAAGATCTCTTTTAAAAAATCTAGCTCTTTTCATAAGTAAAGCAATTGTGTGATTGAAAAATAACTAAGTAGAATTTGTAACTCTTATTTAATTAATATCAAAATCATCAATTTAAATGGCTTATTTATTTTTATCCTCCATTTCCATATAATCATTTACTTAATGATGTCCAGCTCCTATCTAAGCAACCTTCAAAAATACTTCTTCTAATGTTGTAATGCTGATTCCATAACTTTATATATGTAATGTTTTTAAATTATTATCTAATTCTGCAAATAATTTAGGAAATTTAATAACTGCATTTAAAGGTAATTACATAAGAATTTCAGCTGAGACTTTAGATATTAAAATAGCCTCAGGACAAACCTTCATTATTACTTCTATGATTGGATCTGATTCTGTTAAAGTACTTTCTTTTACAATTGTTAGATTATAACCATTACCAAATTGATTCTTTAAAAATACACTACTTCCTGAACACTATAATTTACCTTCTCCCATTATACCTATTCTATCACCTAGAAAGTCAGCCTCATCCATAAAATGTGTTGTTAAGACTATAATTCTATCTTCTTTATAATTTTTAAGCATTTCCCAAATATATCTTCTTGCACTTGTATCCATTCCTGAAGTAGGTTCATCCAAATAAATTAATTTAGAATTACCAATAAATGCAATAGCAACTGATAATCTTCTCTTTTATCCTCCAGATAAATTCTTACTTAAATAATCAGTCTTTTCTAATAAATCAACATCTTCAATCATTCTTCTAACAGCTGCAGGAATATCTTCTGGTTTCATTCCTTTAAAAGTTGCAAACATTTCCAAATGTTCTTTGACTGTCATATTATCAAATAAAATATCATGTTATGGACATACTCCCATAAATTATCTAATTTCTTCAATTTAAGTTTCAACATCATATCCAAATACTGTTGCTTCTCCTTCGGTAATATCTAAGAGACCTGTCAACATTGAAATTGTAGTAGTCTTACCTGCTCCATTATGTCCCAATAAAGCATATATTTAACCAACATACATTGTTAAACTAACATTACTGACAGCTTGTTTTCCACTAGGATATATTTTAGTGAGATTAGAGATTTAAAGTACTTCTTTTCTACTTTCCTAATCTTTCAATGCTTATTCTACTTCTTCATATCTTTCTTAATGGATTAATGATGACTTTTTCCTTAGTCTTTATTATTGAGAATGATGAGATCTATTAAAATAAGGAATGCAAAATAAAGGATGTAATTTCTTACCCCATTCATTTGGAAAAACTAGATCCAAATAAATAGACATTATTAAGTAAAAGAATATGTTTAGTATATGCATTATCAAAGCAATGTTGACAGCATAATTTTCAACTTTAGTCGATATTGTTGACATTGAAACTCCTCTTCCTTATGCTTCAAACATTACCATAACATCAAAAGCAAAAGACATACCTGCATGAGAAGATATAGAGGCTCCCCAATAAGATGATTCTGGAACTATTTCTTATCCACTTCCTACTAAACTTATTACCATATACATCAGTAAATACCAAACTATTGCTACAATTAATCCAAATAATGCTCTCGTAAAAAATACACTATGATTAAATTTAATTTATACCTAATGAACATAGATTAGAATATTAAGACTATACAAAATAGCCAATAATTTAAGAATAATACAAATCCATCAGTATGAGTAAAAACAATGGCTGATAATAGTATTGTAGCAATAATTGATATAATTGTATAAATTAATAGATATTAGATAATCCATGATAGATAGAATGAAGTATTATTTAATCCCATCATTTTCATACCTTCTCTTAACTTTTTCTCTTTTTCATAAATCATTGCATAAGTCATTCTTAAATATATGATTATTAAAGGTAATATCAAATATACACCAAATTATCCTCTTAAAAATGTTGCAAATTCATCTTTAACTCCTTCCTATTAATGAACTAATTTATTTAAACTTTTAAATACCATAAGAAAACTTAGGATTTATTGTAGCTTAACTATTTGTTTCAATTCTTAAAATTATGTTATCTATAAATGTTTACACTGTCAACATACCAGATTCCCAATAAGTATTTACCTTTTCATAATCTTAATATTTTATTGGATCCACTTCCATTAAATTTGTAGGAGGAATTTCAAAATCATTAAATCCACTTGTATTAAATCTTAATTAATAATCATAAATATTATTTCCAGCTGTTTCATTAAACATTACTCCAAAACATATTCTAGGTACTCCATCTCTTCCATAATCTGAATCTGCTGTGTATTCATTAAGTTCATCATTATTTTTAAATATTATTGTTTAATAATTATAATAAGCTAAATTCAATTGTAATATATCTTACTTTCAAAAATATATTTAAGCTCTTTTACAATCTCATGATTTTCATTTGGTCCAAGAGCTACATGTCCATTTAACCAGAATCTTTCTTATTAATAATTATAGTTGTCTATACAATTTCTAAAATTGTTTTATTTATTACTTCATTTTAGGTAATACTGATAATCTACTTTTTGTATCTAAACTCTTAAGATTATCAACCAAATTCAAACTTGCATTCCATTTTTAAATGATCATAATCTTATCTTCAATTTCTTTTTCATTAATCATAGAGTATAACATCACTGGTACATTAGGATCAGATGATTTCCAATCTAGTTCTGGTTATAAAAAGGCAGTTTCATCAAGATTAGTTTTATCTACAACACCTCTAAAAAGATGATTAAAACTGTTACCTTATTCCTCCTAATGCTAATATTAATATTAATGGTAAAATGATTTCACAAGTGGAACAGAAACAGTTTCTCTTCCAAAGAATCCAATTCTTTCTTAGTAATGAAGATAAATGACCCATTTTTTGGATTTTTTATTTAATTTCTTAAACTCAGAATTTTTTAAGTTCTTAAATCACTAATTCTATAATTAGATATAGAATATATTAATTATTCAATACTTTGTATAACTCAGATTTTTAGAAATTCCAAAATTATTATTCTCATTCTTTGTTCTTAAATTCCAAAAATTCTAATAAAATTTAATTACAAAATGATAAAACTCTAAAGCTTTGATACTTAAAATTAAATTATTTTAAAATCACAATGGCTTTAATGTAAGAAAAGTTAAGAAATATTTACAAAAACAAATTATTATAAAGTAACAAAAATTATTAGGCAATTTAATCTATTTTATGTGTTATACAATTTTATATTACCTATTTCAATCTCTAACTATTAATCTAATAATATTATACAATTATATTTAAAATAATAAAATCAATAAGCAAACAGGGGTTACATTATATTAATCCAAAATAACATATATATTATATTACAACTTTATCATATTATTCTCATACTAAACTAATAATAATATAGAGGATAATTAACTAATCATTTTGATTTTTTATTATATATAAAAATAACTGATATGTAATATAAAATTATATTAATCATATCTAATTTAATACAATTAATAATATAATCTAGATATATATATAACTGTCATATATAATAATTATATCTCAAAATATTATCAAGTTATGAGGTAATTCATTTGTGAGTTTTATTGTCTTAAAGTTTTTTTGTTGATTAATTTATGAAGCTTTTATGATTACTTAACATACTTTTTGGTATATTTGTGATGATTTAGGTATTTACAGGTGCTGTTGTTTGTTTTTATGATGTTTTTAAGTAGACCCTTTATTATTAAATTTCTTATAAAATTAATGTATTTTCAGTGCTCATTGTTTCTTCCTTTGTTGATTTTGTTTCAGTATTTATATGGTATTTTGTGACTTCTTTTACAAAATAAACATTGATTTTATCATTATTAATCACAACTTTAGGTGATATTGTCTTATAAGTATCACCTTGTTTGAGATTTTGTTAACCATCTATTTCTTTGACAGATTTTCTTTAAACTCCTTATTATGTTATTTTTAAATGTTCATCACCTATATAGTAAATTAGATATACTTTTCTATTTAATTAAAGTCTTAGAACTTTTACAGGTCTAAAGAATAACATTAGGATTAGCAACTTAACTTTTTTATAATAAAATTGAGTCCTTTTTTCCACCCCTTAAGTCTTTTAACTGAATTGATGTTTTTCTATTATTTGATTCTATCCTAGCAGTGTTATTACAGTTTTGTAGAGTATTCATTTGTTTTTTCTCACAACAAAACAAGTTTAATACTTATTCGCTTTTCATATGATTTATAAACAATAATTAAACAATATTAAATATCAAATTAATATATTCTTGATATTATTAATAATATATATGAAATTTACAAATTTGATTTAATACTCTATTACTAATAAAGTAGATATTAATTTTATGAATTAAAATATTGTATTATCACAATTAATTAAGGTTGTTATTAATAGACTTTAAAATAAATAAATAAGGCATAATAAATACTACTAATTTTTATGATTAAATTCCTTATATGTCTAAATTAGAAATCTAATTCTAAATGAATCTTATTATAAAAATTGAATCATCCCACATTTTCTGAATATAGTTATTATCAAATAATTTAATGAGAAATTTGAAAGATTATTTTTGGTATTTTAAAAAATCAAATGAATCAAGTAGTTTTCATACAATATCTATTAATAATAAAACATATTATCTCACTAATTTTACATATTCATCAAATAAAATTAATATAGCATTAGATCACTAGCCAAAGTTACTTGCAATGAGAGTTATTCAATTTTTAAAGATGAATTCTGTAAAAAGTCTTTTCATCAATATACAATGCATAGTATTCTAATTATTTTGTGTTATATCTAAAAATGTATCAAAGATATAAATAATGAAAGTTCAATAAGGAAAATTTTGTATTATCCAATTTATAAAGTATCTTTAGTACTAATTAATAGGAAATCATTATTGACTTTTTTCCAAATAATTTTAAATTATAATAATTTTTAATCCTGAAAGCAAATTTAAAATTAATTGTTCTTTTATATTTGATTATGATTAATAAATAAAATTTTAAATAAAAAACTTACAAGATAAGGTGATAGTTAACAAGAAGAAAAATAAAGAAATCATAAAGATGATTTCATATTTAAATAATAAATTTATTATATAAATTTAGAAATTTATTATAAATAATAATAATACAAATTAAATGTTTTTAGAATTTTATTAATCAATAATCATTATTCACTTTCCTTTTTAATTTCATTTTTCCTAGCTTCATTTTATGGTTATTATGTAGCACCATTTTAAAACATTTACATATTCATTTATTATTATTTTAATTATGAAAACATCTAAAAATTAAAGGCATTCTTATTAGCACTCATATTCATTAAAAATTGAAGAGAATTTGCAGACAAATTATTTTATTATTGAGATAAAAATTATTATTATTGACTAGGTTATTCTTGCTTTATTTATATAACATTAGCCTTTTTTTATTCTCCTGTTATTTATGGTTAATTATTATCCCTATTTCCTACAATAATTAATTAAAAATACTTAATTCTTCTTCTTATTCTTATTACAATCTTTAAACAATTTCAGTTAAAATATTAGAATAGTTTGCAAATCTCTGTTAATTTTTAGATTACATATTTGATAGTTCTTACGTTAATTATTGACTTTCTTAAAATAGTGTTTCATTTTATTGCATAATTTATTAGAGTGCTATTTATAGTTATTTTTAACTGTCAGCTATAGCTTAAATTTCATTTTTTAATTCCTTTTGTGCTTTCTTAAATTATTCAATTTCATCAACAATTTATGGAATTTCCTAAGATTCTTAATATATATTTAACATCTTTATCATCATTTTCTTCTTAATTTCTTCTTTTGATATTAGTCAATAAGGCTCTTCCATCTCTTCGAAACCATTTATGCTCAAATTTTTAATTTATGTCATCAGCTTTACTTTTTTTAAAATTATACATGTTGAGTTATCTAAATTTTTAGAATAAAATATATTACCTTAAAAAGCTCGGATAATTCTTATGTTTGAAATATTTTGGCAATATTTTATCAGCAAGTAATTGTTAATTTCTTACAATGAATGCGTTTCCTTCAGTATTCCATCCAATAATTTCTTTTAGATCTTCATTCTATTGTGTTTATTAGATTATACTTCCATAATGTCAAACAGTCTTACTAAAAATGAAGGCACACTTCCTTTTTATCTTTATTCAGAGCTCTAACTTTAAGAATCTTAGAAATTATCACTACTATCTTACATTTTATTAAAAATATTATTGTTTTGATTTTTATTAAAAATTAATATATGTATTCATAACGAATATCTTAACAATACTGATGAATATAAATTAATCTTTTGTAAAAATATAATGAGTTTTATTTACTATATATAGAATTTTATAAAATAAATATTAACTAAAATTAATATAATTCATAAATATATAATATATATTCCTAATCATATTTTAAAAATAATTCAAATACATAATCAATTCCAAAAAATCTTTCAATTTTTAAATTAATTAAGATATTAAGATATATATATTATATAGTTAGTTAAATTAAAAAGTAATCTTATTGATAAATAATTAAATAGTATTATATTGTTTTCATTTTTAATCAATAAATATTATTAATTATTAATGATCTATTTAGAAATTCTAAATATAATGGATTTGATTAATAATTGATAGAAATTCTAAATAATATTTATTTCATGAATTTGAGAAAATTTTCCAAATTATCATATTTTCAAACCAAAAGTTTAAAGCCATAGAATTAATAAAACAAAGTTGGATAATCCAAAAATATTAAGCCTAATTATGGAAATGAAAAAAAAAATTTGAAGGAATAGTTTGAATAAAATTAAAGTAATCAATAAACTTTGATTAATTAAGAAACAAATGAGATAACTGTTTCTGATTTTGAAACATCTACTCATATGGAAAAAAAATGTATAATTTATATAATTAAAGTAATTAGCAATCCAAAGACAAATAAAAAACATTTTTCACCAATCTTTAGATCAAACAATATTATTATTGATCCTAATTCAACTAAATTCTAATTATCTTTATCTAGAGAAAAATTATTAAGTAATGATGTTATAAGTTTATGGGATTCAAATCAAAGAGGAAATAAATAATCTTCCAATAAATCTTAAATAGAAGAAAAATAAACATTTATAAGCAAAGGTTCAAAGTAAAAATTAGATAAAGGTATCAAATTATAAAAAGAATTGGATGAATTCCTTAAATTTAGGCATTAAAATATATAAACTTCATTTGATTCTTCCAAATTAAAAAAATTAGATAAAAGAAAACTCAAAACAAAAATTAGAATTGAATATCAAATTGATTAAAACATTAATAAATAAAATAATGAAAAAGAATGCTAATTTAATAACATGAATACTCAAAATTAAGATTTACATACTTAATTAAATAATTCATAAGACTAGAAAGAAAAATCAAAAAATAGTAGTACTATCAAAAGCAATCCTTTAATTCCAATACATATAAGATATTAATATGAAAAAGAATATAAGGAAGCTAAATAAAAATCAAATGAAAAGATAAATGAATAATAATATATATAAAGTATCACATTATATTTATTGTAGAAAAAAAAGTAAGTAAGGATCAAATAGAAGAATTTTTTAAAGAATAATAAAAATTTATTAAAAAGAGAGCTGATTTTTTTGAAAAGGAATTTGAGAAAAAACTTTGGGAAGCTTCTTAACATGAAAGTGAATTTGTTTATAAACCTGTTCTTAATGAATAATCAAGTCGAGTAATTTTAACAAATATGTATTTAGATTTTAGAAAAGAAATTAAAAGGTAAAAAATTTGATTAGAGAATAGAATAATTCTAATAAAATAGATAAAATAAAATAGATGAATAAATTTAAAATATGAAACCATCTTTTACTCCAACAATAAGTAAAAAGTCTAGATAAGTAATAATATAATATAATAATTATAGCTTATGGAAAATCCTAAATAAAGACTTATATCTTAAAATGATAATGGATTTTAATAATATAATTAAAAAGCAAAGACTTAAGAATGACTTAATTTAAATGATATTAATTTATATATTTGTTATTCATTAATTCAAAAACTTTTTATTGATGGTATTAAGATATCTTTATGAAATACAGGATCATTAATTACTTAATCAATATTCCATCTATTTTAAACATTCTTTTCTAAACAACCATTTATAACTCTCTAAACGTTTTCATTTATTTTTTTATCTTAATTTGTTTTTAATTTTTAACACTAAATTTATCTATATAAATCTTTATCATTTTATCCTTTAAATGGATATTCTCCTGTTATCATTTTAGATAAAAGAATTCCCAATGACCAAACATCAGAACTTGAAGGATGATGAGGAACCTTATTAATTTAATTTAAAAAATTACCTTTGCTATAATTTCTGGAGACATATAATGAGGTGTTCCACAAAATACATTAGTTTTTTAATTTGGAGGCATACATATTGCAAAACCAAAATCTATTAATTTAACAACATTTGTTTTCATCATTAAAACATTATCTAATTTAATATCTCTATGAGAAATATTTAGATCATGCAAATATTTTATAGCCATGGCAATTTAATAAAACAAACTTAAACATTCTTTTTCAGGTAAGATTCTATTTGGCTTTGACTTAATGTACGAAGCCAAAGATTATGATGAAATATATTCCATGACTAAATTTATCTTATATTATAATAAAGTACTGATTTTTTATCTTCTATTGCCCAATATAATTTGATAATATTTTGATGTTCTATTCTTTTCAATATAGATATTTCTCTTTTTACATTATTCATTTTTTAAGAATCATTTAATTTTATTTTTTCATAAATTTTAATTGCATATTTCTCTTTAGTATTTTTATCAATACCTAATCTAACCATCGCAAAAGATCCTGATCCTAATATTGTTTCCAATTTAAAATTTCCCATAATCAATTCTTAATTACATAATTAATTTAAAGCTAAAGCACTTTTAGGTGGTTTTTATGGTTAAGGACATTTATCAATTATTTATTATTAAGATTCTATTTTTTATTTTTCTTTTGTTTCTTCAAATCGTTTAATTCTTGGAGCAACTCCTGATAATGCTGAAAAAGGTCTTGTCTATTGAATTTTCTTATTTATTGAAGCACTCCATTGTCTCTCTTACTATTAAATTCTAGTATTTTAAGTAGTATTTAAGGATAAATGTTATTCTTTTGAGGATTTCCATTAAGAACATTCTATCTATTATATGAAATATACTATTAATTTAGTTCTCAATATTTTTGAGAATTACATCAGCTTGCAATTTGATACTATTTAAATCATAAATATTAATGGCATCTGTTTTAAGTTCTAATTTTATAGTAATTAAAAGTTACATTTATTCTTTTCAATATTAGCTAAAAATGATTGAGTAATAGAGTCATTTGATTCTGATTTGTTAAGTTTTATTTATTTTAACATTTTTTGTTTTTTTTGAAAAATTAATAATGATAACGATAATTAAATTATTAATACAATAAAATATTGTCTAATTAGTATAAAAATTATAAATATAAAAGCCATTTAATCCATTATTTAATTCATTCTTATAAACTATCTGATCTGGATGAAAATATTCTATCAACTAATTTGATTTAAGCTTTTTAATTAACAAAAGATTTAGATGAATACTTTCTAGGAACTGAGATTAATTACTTAGTAAATATTCCATATGGATCAGTTACTTTTATTATTCTTTTTTTTTCTTAACTAGATATTTTATAGTTTTTTGAATTATTATCTAATTGATTAATATCTTAACTATTGTATTAAAAAATATTTGATTTTTTTATTGGTTTACATGATTCATATTGTTATTGAATAAAAGATTTTGGAGATTACTTAATATTTTAATCAAGATAATTAAAAATATTATAACAAGTATCTGAACCATCCTAAGCACTTTATTATGTACTTTGTTTTGTACTTTATTTTGTGCTTTATTAATTAGCTAAATTTTCTTTATTGGAATCATTTATTGAATACATAGTATTTTTTCTAGAAACAGGATTCTTTTGTAATAGCTTAGTTTTCAACAACATATTTTTAATTGCAGCCAAATTTTATTAAGGTAAAGAATTCTCTCTTCTCCTTTTAAATATTTATTAATTAGTTTTTATGGCATCAGGATTAAAGAATTAAGCTGTCTTTTAAAAAGGATCCTCTTTTCCAAAACTCTATTCAAAAAAATTCATTTTCAAATTTAATATATTGGTTTATTATTAACAAATAAAAATTATATGAAGAATTACTAATAATTTAGAGATTTCATATTAAATCATAATATTTATTAAATTATTCCCAAAAATCCTCCATCTTTGACATAATTATATTCAAATACACCACCATCAAAACACAAAATATTTTTGAGAATAATTATTTACTTTTTAATTATACTTCCAATTTACTCTTACTAACTACTTATTTAATGTAAATCAATAAAACATATTAATTTCTTTAATAATCAACTTTAGCTCTCCACCTAATAGAATTCTTTTTTTTACTCAACACCAAAATTCATCCAAGACAAAGTAAGTTTAGTAATTGTATTTGATTTTTTCTTAAGCTGAACTTGCAACAATAATTTCTTTCTTTTCTAATTTTTAAGAACTCTTTAATCCATTCTTAGGTTTGTTTTTAATCGTTAAATAGCCAAAATTCATTTTTATACATCTGTTAATTCTCTTTGATTATATTCAAAACGTAAACAATAATATAATTATCCAGATGTCTTATTTATCTATTTTATTTATTTCAAGGTCACATACAGGAATTCTTCCAATAAAAATACTTTTATCACAACTATCATCATATGCAAAATAAGAATAGTTTCTAATAATAATGTATCAGGTATCTTTGCTTAAGTTGATCCTTATTTTTCTGTTTATTATCCTGTAATACAAACAGATGTAATCATTATACACCATCATTTTTTTGTTCTTGTAAATTTTGATTAGAACTAAAGATCTCCCCATACCAAAATGAATTCAGTATCAGATCCCTTAACATTAATTTTAGAAATGTAGTTCAGATTAAAAACACCTTAATTTTCTTCATATCAATACTTTTTGGCTTATCTTTAGAAGAATAGGTTTCTTCTTCCAATATTTTAGATACTATCCCTCATTATTTTGAGAAAAGTAACATTTCTGATATTCTTTTATCACATTCAGACTACGTTTCTATAGTACTCCGTTTTATTGTAATGCTTTAAATAATTTATTTTCATTATTATTATTATTATACATGGAAACAGTTTCTTAACAAATAAAACAACTGAATCAGAAAAATTAAGAACTCTCTGTCTTAGAAAACAGAATAGTTTAATTGAAATAGTAATTGAATTTACAATAAGCAAACAATAATATCTTAAAGACTAAAGTCGAGAAGATAGTCCAATCTAAAAAATAAAAGTTTTATGATTAAATGAAGGTAAACTCATTATTAGAGAATTTAGCTGAAACAAATTCTTCAAGATAGTACTGTAAATAATGACGGAGCTTAATATATGATTCAAAGAAATAAAGCTTTATTAAATGAAGAACTAAGATAAACTAAATAGGATATGTTGGAAGAAAAGTATCTATAAACTTAATAGATGAAATAAAAATTAGATTTGGATATGCTTTTAAATTAAAAGAAAAGAGATCAATAACTCTTAGAAAAACAGTAATAATATGCAAAAGTACTCTAATCATTTTATCTAATAGATATCAGAGTGGGAATTTAATCTTAAATTAGACTTAAAATAAAGATAAATTGATAAAATTGAAAGAATTAGATCAGAAGAAAAAGAGTTTAAAGAATAATTAGCCAAACGAATTTAAGAATAACAATAGTTATGTGATTAATTAGCAAATGAAGAATAATAATTTTTGAGGTAATATTTTTCATTACACTTAATGAAGCAAATTAAAAAATTCACAATAGTTTGGAAATTCTCTAAAGAATGATCTAACAACTGCTATGAATTTAAGTATAAAGGAGTATAAAAATAATATGTCTGTGTCAATTCCTACTCATATTAAATCATATAGCTAATCTAAATTACCAAAGGAACAATAAAATAGTCCTTATGCCTAATTACCTACAATACTTATGATGAAAATGAGTGGATAAATTAATAAGAGTGGGAATGCTTCTTTTCGTGAATCTATAATGAAAGGTTATCAATTTTCTTTACCTTCTCTTTGTAAGCCTTCCTTTACTGAATAATAATAATAAGTTGATCGTCTTTATCAATCCAAAAAAGTGAAAAATAGCAAATCAGATTTATAGTAGATATTGAATTATTGTGATTCTACAGGTAAAATAGAATAGAAATAAAAATATCGAGTAAATTAAAGTGAATTAATAAAAAAATAAATGAGTAATTAATCAATAAAGGAAAATAATTAAATTTAATAAGAGTACGAATAAAATAAATAACAATCATCAGAACAAATAAAATATAATAATAATGATGAAGAAGTATCAAATCAGAATTAATAAGAAGAATAATAATGATGATATGTATTTATTAAAATTTTAATAAAATTTTATATCAGATTTTAAATCATTAAAAGATCCTATTTTTAAATCAGAGTCCAACTGATATATTTTTAGAAGGATTCTTCATACTAGGTCTTAAAGTGATTTAAAACGATATAGTTATACTTCTTTTCAATTTTCAATAAAATTGACAAGCTTTTTCATAGCTTTCTCTGCTGAAAATGCTCCAAAAGGTCCATCTCCACCTAATTTAGAATGAATTTTTTCAGATTTAGCATCTTTTCTTGTCACAGTTATTTCCATTTCTCCTGTTATTTTATCTTAAGACTTGCTTGTCACTTCAGCTTAAGGATATAATGATTTAATGTATTATTAGGCCAAGTTGGATTGAGACCAATATCCTCATCCACCACAATATGTAATATGAACTGGATAATAATATATGAAATACCTTTGAATTACTTATCTTTAGAAGTTTTAAGTGTTGAAATATTCTCTGGTAATTTGATCATAAAATAATTTAATAATATCTTTTTATAATATAAATTCACTTAAAAGTGTTAAAAAACAGTGGATCAAAAAGTCAAAGAAATTTTTATTGATTTTTTAAACATTTTTAAATTAGTATTAAAGCTTTGCAAATATTGAATATTTGTGAATTTATATTGTAATGTGTAATGTATCAAGCTACAAGTATGCATGCTCCTCCTACTGCTTTGATTCTTCTCTCTGCAGTTTTGCTAAAGAATTTAGCTTTAACAACAACTGGTTAATTTGGAAGTCTACCTTTTCCAAGTACTTTGAAATAACCAGCCTTGGTGACATCAATAACAGCAGCTTTGTCCTTTGATTTAGCATATTTTTCTCTGGTTTCATCTGTGACAAGTGACCATAATTTATCAATATTGACAACTGGTCTATGGAGTGTGTTTTTTTTCAAATGGAAATGTCTCATACCGGTCTATAGGAGGAATAGGAGTAGATGGGTACTTTTTGGAAATAACCTGGATGGTATTTATTGAAATTGATTCTATGATGTGTTAAACCTCCTGAAACACCTCTACCACTTGGATGTTTTCTGTGTTTACCAACTCTACCGTAACCATGGCATACATGTCCTCTCATTTTTCTACATTTTCTCAATCTGCTAACCATTGTATTAAATTTTAAAAAAAAGATTTTAATATGTGATTAATACCCTGATTGAATATATAAATCGAAATAAATATGAAGCAGTGATTAGTTAGAAATGTGAATTTATGTACATTATTTGATGGTACAATAATTTGAACAAGTGAGTATTATTTATAAGGATTAAATAAATAATTAAAAATGTAAAATGATGCAATCGATTATTTGAAAATCTTCACATCATTAACTATATTGAAAGCATTTTGTTCTAGTGTCCATCATTATAAAATTAATTAGATGCCATCTTCACATTATGAAACCGTAAATATGTGATCATGATATTATGATAGGAATCAACTTTGACTACACTAATGAAAATTCAAATGTAATTCAATTTTCTACTTCTTCATTCCACATTGTTGTTTAAACACTTGGAAAATGTTTAAGAAATAAGTTAATTTAACCTATTTTTATTGATATCAATATGTCTATTTGTTATGACTTTATTATTGACAGATTACAGATGGCTTATGAAAATATATAGATACGAAAATCATATTCTCAGAGAAGATTATCCTATTATTGAATTCTTAGGAATACAAATCTTTATGATGTTTGGATGTGCCTTACTAATAACTATTTAATGGTTCACAATTCCAATTCTCTCAGATCTAATGTATTTACTTTTATGCATTTACAAAATACCATAAATCATTAAATGTCACCAAAATAATTAAATGCCTAATATCACTTATTTCTGCTTTCTTGAGGATTATTGTATATTCATTTTTTTCTCCTACTATAGAGGTTGCCCCATCAATATCTTTAAACTACAAACTAATTTTGGAATTTGTATTAGTGTAGCCATTTTAATATGCATTCAGCAATGTATATTACTCTATTAGTATTACATTAAACCCTAATTATACAATAATAAGTCATAGGTTGAAGATTTTATTAAATAAATTAGGGAATAAAATATTTATTCAACCTTTGATGATTTAGTAATTAACAGTAACCTTGAGTGTGCAATTTGTCTTCAAGGTATTTTACATAACTAATTCTTTATAAATTTAATTCGATCCTTAAGATCCAATAGTTTTAACTTGTTGTTCCCACAAGTTTCATGAAAGTTGTCTGATAGTTTGGCTCAAAGTCAAAAAGCAATGTCCTGTATGTAGATATTAATTCTGAATGATTCAATTTTGATTTAGTTTTTTTATGCAATATTTATTTCTCGATTATATGTGAATATTCATATTTACTATAATTTTATATATAACATTTTCATAATATTCAAGCCACTGTATAAATTAGGGTCCAAATTAATAAAAATTCACCTATTGAAGCTCCTAATCCCTCTGTGTATATTTCTGTATTCTCTATCTTATCTTCATCAATCTATTTAATTATTTTGCAAAAATGTACTTATTTGTATTTGAAGACATAATAATATGAAAATCCCATTGATAAAAATAAAAATCCCAAAATTGTTAATATGCCTTGTAAATGTAAAAATCCTGCTGCTAATCCTAGAAGGACTGAAACTATTTATCTCACAAAGAAAAGGGCTGTTTTGATTTGTCCAGGAGTAGCTTAATCATCTGTGGATAAAGAGAAACTCAAAAACTCACCTAGAGATTAGAATTCTTCCTTTTTTTAAGGCATTCAATAATATAATTTTATTTAAAAAAATAAATATAACATGGGAAAAATTATAATTGAATACCTTGAAGGCTAGAAAATATATGCATGTAAGAAATGTAATGTTCATGTTACAAACTAAGATTATTTAATATCTAAAGTAAATCAATTAATTAAATATAAGTAATTCACAGGATAATCAGGAACAGCATTTCTATTTGATAAAGGGTAATAATAATAATAATAATAAAAAAGTGTAAATTATTTAACAGGAATACCAGAAGATAAAAGGTTAAGAACTGGTTTACATACCACTTAAGACATAATGTGCATTAAATGTTAAACATATCTTGGATGGAAATATGTAATGCCATGAATTACAATATTAAAGCTTCGTGCTTATGAGTAATCTGAGAAATACAAGGAAGGTAAAATCATTTTAGAAAAACTATATTTGACAAAAATCAAATGGAATTGATTTACTATCTAAAATTTATAAATATATATATATATATATAAAATCATTCTATTAATAAGACACTTTTATTTAAGTTGTTAAATTTATATTAGTGATAAAAGTTAAATCCTATGTTGATTATATTGATACTCAAAATCTCCAAAAATGTTGTATGTATCTATCTTAATTCTAACATAGTTGTTATTGAAATAGTTATTTATAAAATAGAATATATTAAAGATTATCTAAGAGAATTAGCAATTTATCTTAAGATTTCATTTTTATATTGCCATCTACTATCCCATTTTGGATGTTTATTTAATCTAGATGTTTGAATAATGAAGAATATATAATTGAATCCAAATGATATCCAATACACAATTTTTATAGATAAATAATCTTTTTTTAATTGTTGATATTTAGTATCTAACATAATATAAGGTTTTAATTATAGTAAGCAATTTAATTATAGTATAATTTGAAATACAAACAATGATATTGATAAAAAGGCTAAATCATACAATCCTGATATTAAAAATCTAAAAAATATATATTTGGTATAATTACTTAATAATGAGAAATATGCCTATTCCATTTTCTAAAAGGGATAATAATGAAAAACAAATAGTTTTAGAAATACTAGAATAATTTAAAATCTTAATAATAACAGTATATAGGCAAATTAAAAATATTATTAAAAGAATACCAGGAAAATCATATTAAATTAATAGAATCTGTTCATCAATAATTGAATTATTATTTTATTGGTTTTGAGTATTATTAGTTTAATTATTGTTATTTTAATCTGTTTAATAATCTTGAACAATACATTAATTTAAATAAACATCTAAATCTTCCTCACATTCTAAACATATTTCTTTTTCTAAATATGCACAAGTAGTACACTTTCCAATTGAACAAGGATAGCATTTACCATTTAATCCATAATAATTTATAGGACATTCATCTATACAAGTAAAATTATATAAATATCCAACTAGGCAATTTAAACAAATATCATAATTATCACATTCTTCACAATCTTTTGAACAAGATAATGATATAGTTTACTTAAAATATCCTTATTATTATATTTCTCCTTTAAAATATGTTGTAAGTTTATAGGAGAATAAGTAGATATATTGATTCGGAATAGTAAAAAATCTGAATGGTATTTCTATAAAGTTATTACCTTCTAAATTTATACTTATAATTGAATTCTATTCTTATTTACAAGTATCACAATAAATTATAATATTACCATCATATTTTATTTAATCTACTTAAAATTTTAATACAATTCTTAATAATGCTTCTTTCATTTACATAAATCTATTATCTATAATTTATATATTAGATATTTAAATTTTTTCAAATTCCCAATCATAAAATTAAGAATAGAAAATAGCTATTTAATCTTTATTTTTATCCTCTAAAATAAATTACCATTCTATTAATTAAGATTTAGTAGGATTTTAAGGTTATGAAATGAATAGACGTAAAACTTAATATTTTTTCATGAGTGGCAAATTAATTATTTCATTATTGCAATCAAAAGTATTTTGTCCAATATCCAAGAATTAACATTATAGTTTTTACTATAAAATTAAAGAAGATGGATAATTAATTTTTAATTTATCTGATTCATTAATATCACAAGGTAATTCAATATTAAATTACCATTAATTTAATTTACCTAATTCTCTAGTAATCATTTTTGGAACTATTTAATATTTATTTGGTTTAAATACTAAATTATATTCAATTTAACTTATTTAACATTAATTTTCATATGTTTTAATTAATAATTTTGAATCTTTAGTTGATCTAGGTGTTTCTATATTATAAATTACATCATTATTTTATAATAATTCTATAACTGAAAAATTAATCTTTTTACAATTTTGACATTTGATTTAATTAATATTAATTGAATTCTCAAAATGAATTTAAACCGTATATTAACTTTATAATGATATAGATAAATTAGATTTACTTAAAGTTAATTAATTACTTAAAGATATTTATACATTCTTGATTAATTAATTTGATTATTGTATCATAACTACATCTTTATATAATTATTCTCTAAATTGATTATTTTAATAAGTCTATGATTCAAATCGACTAGTCTAACAAATAATTGATGGATTTTTAATCCAAAAAGTAAAACGAAATGATGATCCACTTAAATTTTAACTTTACCATGACTATAAATTTAATTCTTAGGGAAATTAGATATTTATAACACCATTTTCAATTGGATTTTATAATTCAATATTTATATATAAATTTGTTTCTTCATCTAATATTTCTGTATCTCTACTTATTATAAAACTCTTATATTCATTTGGCTTAATCTAATAAATTATATCTCCTATTAAACTAGCACTAATCTTTTTAATTAAAAATGAAAATGTTATATCTTCTTTATATTCTATATTATAAAATTAGAATTCAACTTTTAATCTAAATTTTTCTAATAATTAATTATTAAATTCAGTTATCATAACAATTTTATCATTCTAAACAAATGATTATTCTATATCATTAATTATTATTTTATCAATATTTAACATTTTTGATAGAGTCACCTACAAATCTGAATTAACAAGTATATATTTTTAAGAATCAAGCAATATTTTTAAAGTCGTATATTATGTAGCATAACTATTAGAGCTTACTAAAATTTATAATTAAAATATACCTTATACTATTCTTTCTATTTCAGATGGAGCATATGCACCAAAATTGAATTATCCTTCTGATAATTTGTTATTGCTGTCAAAAATTCTAAATTTAGCTGTATATATTTCTAAATTTGATGGAAAAGAAAAGTTATTTATAATAAATGAATGTTGACTTTCATTATAAAGGAATTCCACATTTTTATTGTAAACATATATACTATTATCTTTAGATTGACAAAATTGTCCATTTGATAGACCTATAAAATCTGAGCAATAAATAAAACGACTTGTGTATACTGGAAATTCTAATTAAAAATATAAATCGTTGAACATTATAGGTCTTTATTCAATTAAAAAAAAATCATATTCAAATTACACTTAAAGAAAAGATTTTTCAAATGTGACACCATACCCTTAAACTTAAGATTTTAATGAATTGTCCTTTATTTCTAAGACTAAAAACATATTTATAGTTTTTATTCCATTTATTATGACAATCTTAATAATTTTATTTCCAGGAGTTGGTGGATTTTTTATTTATGTAAGGTATAACATAAAAAATTAAATTTATTAATCATCCTTATTATAAATTATTTTAGGAGGTTGAATATCTATTGGATAATAACAATCAGCTTTGAAATCTGAATCACTCATATCAAATTCACTAAAAGTTATTGATATCAGCTTTGTAATTTTTGTAACATATGAACCTTTTAAAGTTATCTTCAATATAATTTCATTGTAGGAATTAATATTTTCAAATTTATAAGTAATTTAAACATCTAAATCTGTTTCACTCTTGTTCAATTCAAATGAAGTTACTGTAAAGATTAGATGTGATAGTAATACTAATTTCTTTAGCATTTTAAATATTATGTTTATGATTGTTAGAATACTTAATCTAATATTATCAACTATTTGATTTTAGAAATTTTCCACTAAAAAATTACTTTTTTCACTAAATTAATATTATATATAATATTAATTTATTTGATATACTAAAATTCTTCAATTTATATTCTATATTAAATTATATGTTTTAATTAAGTTGATCAATATGATACTTTATATAAATCATTAATATAAATATTATTTTACTTATCAAGTTAAATTATGAAAATAATATATTTATTAACATTATTATATATGCACTCCAAATTTCAGAAAGAAATATTACTATTTTATAGATCATTAGTTAAGTGGGCCAATCTTAAGACAGAGCCAACAAAATCTTTTATAAAATAATTTATTTAGAATGAATATAGAAAGAATTAAAGTATTTCTAAAAAGAAATTTGATAGAGTACCTTTTAGTAATTAATATCTAGATTGAATTTCTATTTAGATAAGGAAAGAATAGATATGAAATATGGAAAAATTTGATTATCATAAGGATGCAAAAATTGATTCAATATATAAATAAAATGATTTACAGTAAAAATTTATAAAATTTTCAAGGCTTGCTTTTGTTTATTTTTTCTTAGAATTAACAAGGCTTTTCACATTCTGTATGTATACAATGATGACGTATTACAATTTGCTTACAACATTTACATTCTTTTTCTTTTGACTCTCTTCGTTTCCTTAATTTTCCATTTTAAGAATCTGATTAACTATCTAATATAAAGTCTTCTTCCTTAGACATTAAATCATCTAAATTAACTTAAACTGGTAAATCAGCTATAAAATAGAATTATGTTTATTTTTATACGTGAATTCTTAACTTTGATAACATCTAAAAGTTTTGTAATTTAATCATTAGGTAATCTTTCAAAAATTTTGATTAAATCATCACTCATTTTTCTTGATATTTTAATTTATCCTCTTTCATCATTTAACTTTACTTTCTTTTCTATTTAGTCATTATCGCTTTAACTACTATTTTCTTGTATCTTATGATTCTGTTTCCTTAATTTATAAATAACGCTTACTTATTATCCAATCCAGAAGACTTAGAATAACATTCAGAAGATTCAGAATTCTAACACATATTTTCTAATATAATATTAATAAATAATTAATTCATATTTCTTTTGCATTATTAATTTAATAGTGAATATAAAACTAATTTCTAATCTCAATAATATTCATCATTTATATCTTAAATCTAAATTTTATCTTTTCATAATTTCATAATTATTTTTATTAAAAAACTGTTCTGTTTTCTTATTACAAATAAATTAAATAAAAAATAAATATTAAATTTAAGTATAATCAATAAATGAAATCTAAAATAAATCTAATTTTTCTGAATTTATTAGTTGATTTTAATTAAATTATTTAATTCTAAAGAGGATAATAAAGAAAACTATAAAACTATCCTATTACTTAATCTAACAAAAGAAATTTTAAGTATTTTTTATTAAATATTGAAATTACTTAGTATATTTGAAATATATGAAATAGAGAGTTACTTTTGTCTGTCTAATAAGCTATCAAATAAAAAAGAGTAATAAATAAAAATAATAAATTAGATATTAAAAATTACTTTTTCACTTAATTTATCACTTTATTTTATAAGTGTTTAGTTTTTAACGATAATAATAATTTATTTAATATTAACAGAATGATCATCGAAAATCAAAGATGTTTTGGAAAGGAAATAGCAAATTCAACTTTGCATTAATCTAAGGAAATAGGAATGATTGTGGAAAAACATAAAAAACCTTTTTCCATAATTCCAAAAGTTTTTGCATTGAGTTTGGATGATAAAGAAAATAAAATTTTTAAAAGAGAATCAGAAAAATTATCAATTGAAATAGAAACTGATAAGAATAAGGATGCTAAAAATCCTTAAAATGTAGAGTTATATTCAAATGAAATTATACAACACCTTCTGATAGAGGAAGTAATAATTTTAGACTATTAAAGAATAAATATATAATAAATTAGTATATGACACCAGAGTAATAACCAGATATAAATGTAAAAATGAGAGCCATTCTAATTGATTGGCTAATAGATGTTCACGCTAAATTTAAGTTGCAAGATGAAACACTTTATATTACAATATCATTGATTGATAGATATTTGTCTTTGGCTTAAGTCACAAGAATGAGATTGTAATTAGTAGGTGTGGCTGCCTTATTTATAGCTTGTAAATATGAAGAAATCTATCCTCCTGCATTAAAGGATTTTGTTTACATAACAGATAATGCATATGTAAAAAGTGATGTTTTAGAAATGGAAGGTTTAATGTTATAGGCTTTAAATTTTAATATATGCAATCCAACAGCTTATTAATTTTTACAAAAATACTCAACAGACTTAGATCCAAAAGATAAAGCGTTAGCTTAATATATACTGGAATTGTCTTTAGTTGAATATAAATTTACTATATACAAACCATCTTAAATAGTTCAATCTGTAATATATTTAGTTAATAAGATAAGGTATTATTTTATAATTATTATAGAACTCCAACTTATAAAACATAGAATGAGAATTATTTAAAGCCTTGTGCTAAATAATTATGTACTTTACTTTAAACTGCAGATCAAAGCTCCTTATAAGCAGTAAGGAAAAAATTTAATGCTTCTAAATATTTTGAAATTTCGAGAATTAAAGTAGAAAAAATAAACAAATGATTTTAGTTTTAATTGTCTTTTTTCTTTGACTTTCACTCAATATTTACATTTTAATTTAAAATTAATTATAAATGCTTTCATTATAAAACATTTAATAAACTTCCACTAAACAAAAATAATATAGAAATCTAAATAGATATTTACTCTTATTTATGATTCTTAATTATTATATATTATTGAATTATCAATTAGCTAAATACATAAGAGATTATACTTTACATCAATAGCAAGTATAAGAATCCATTTTTAGAGTGATATATCATTATGATTTTTCAATTTTTCAATTTGAGATTTGAATTATAGAATTATCACATTTAATATTAAATATATAGAGTTTAGAAAATGATATATCAAAAAATAAAATATAAACAAGATAAAGATATATTTTAGTATCTTTAATAAATTGAATAAAGTATTCTTAATATTTTTAGAGTGAATAATAACTTAACCTTAATTTAATTTAATATATTAATATTATTATTCTTTATATAATTTGGTTATTATTAAACAAATGATATTGAATATATTTAATAAAAAGATGAATCTCATCTTCCTGACCATGATGCAACTTATTTCTTGAATATGATGATGACTTATTCAATAATAGCGTTTTCTTCATCTCTCTTAGCCTTTGCTTCAGCATAGTCTGCTCTCTTGTTTTCTAAATCTGATTAAGCTTAATCTAAAGCATCTTATGATTCTTAGAGAATTATCTTTGATTTAGCTTATTAAGCTAAGGCAGCTTGAATTTACTAAAGAAATATTAATTATAGTTCTTACAGTTGCCAATCTGTCAGCATAAACTTATTTTCTTTCATATTCAACTTTGAGATTTGCTACTTCTGCTTCACTCAAAGATACCCATCCTGCTAATTCCCATGATGCATTAATTTCATTAACTTCAAGAGCTTCAAGTGAGGCTTAAAGATTAGCTTCAAGTGATTCTAATACAGATAAAACTCTTTCAGCTAATGTTGCTCCTCTACTTACAGAACCATCTTCTTATTTGTTAGCCAATTAGAGGAATGATTTTAATTCTTATTCTTAGAATGTGTTACTGTATTGCTTCAATTTATCAGCAACACTGTTAACTTAAACTAATTCAAAAGAATCTCCATTAATAATATATCCTGCAACATCTTATTTAAGTACTCTGACAACTTCAAGTGCTTCTCTATTTTATTTGATAGATCTAACAAATAATTAATTGCTAAGACATTATTCATCAAGAAGAACTTAAATCTTTCTAGCAATTTCATCTTATCTTTATTCATTCCAAGCAAGGTAATTTTTGGTGTCTTAGAGTTCTTATTCAAATTATACTCTATTTTCAATTGATTGTTAAAATAATTTTTAGTTGAGACTCTTAATTTTAGTGAATTGTTCAATTGTTCTAAAATAAATTAAAAAATTACTATGCTCCAACCCATTCATCTGTTTCATTCTTTTAATCAGCAGCAAATTAAGCATCCTTATTAGATTAAATCAAATCATTAAGTAATCCAAATACAGTATCAATAGCATCACTTGCCTTTGTTCCTGTCTAGAGAAGGGCAAGGATTTGATCTTTAGTTGATGTTGCTGATGCCAATGTGACCAACAATATAAGGGCGATTGCCAATTTCATTATTTTATTAATATACTCATAAAAACGGGTAATTCAATTAAATATCAATCCAAAAATATAAATAATTAGTATAAATTAAAATACAACTTAATATTCACATATTTAACCAATCCTAATAGAGAAACTTCAAATGATAGGTATAAATTATTAATTTTATTATGACACTATCAATAATTCAATTATTCTATATAGATAAATGAATAAACATTAAAGAAATTTATGTAATTATTGAATAATAGTAAATAACAATACTAGGACCATTAAAAATAAGTTGATTTATGATCTTAATATAAATTATTAAACTTATTTTAATGAGAAGAATAGTTTTTATTTAAATAATAATAAAAAATAATCAAGAATTAATGATAGAAAATTTGATTATAAATTAATTTATTTTTTTATTTTATATTATTAATATAGGTTATTAGTCATTAATGAACTATCTAAAATTTTATTCTTTTGTATATTTATAAATATTATAATATTAATTATAAAATATTAAGATGAATTCAATTCAATAAGAAATCACTATGATTCCTACCAAGATATTTAAGAATGCATAATGGATTTCAAAATCATTAAGTGTAAACAAACGAAAAAGTCCAAATTATCCATGTAAAAGATGGGGACATACAGCTGTGTTACACGATAAATATATGTATGTATTCAGTGGTTGTGGTAAATCTGATAATCCCAGATAGTGGGAACAAATATACAGAATGGATTGTATAACATTTTAATGGGAAAGATTGAATTCTCCATCTTAAAACCATCCTCCAGGTAGAGATTCTCATTGTTGTGTATGTTTGTAAAATAAACTATATTTTTTTGGGGGATCTAGTAATGAATTAATTCTTGGAGATTTTTGGAGCTTTGATATTGAAACTTCTGAATGGACAGAAATATAAGTACCAAAAGATATGGAAGCAAGAGAAGGACATTCTATGGTAGCTTTATCATCAAGATTAATATATATATATGGTGGATGGGATTAAGTATAAAATATAATGACAGAATCACATTGGCTATATGATATAAAAACAAACAAATTTTAATAAGTAACACATTTTACAGGGGATGAGATGATAAAATTAGAAAGTCATACTGCTAATAAAATAGGAGATAGTGTTTATATTTTTGGAGGTTAAGGTCAGTAGTCGAATAAACAATTAGTATTTCATAAAGATTTGTACAAATTAGATTTTGAAAATATTAATGATTTGCATTCAAAATTTGATTAATTAGAATCAGGAGATGATAAGGGTTAGAATATCGAAAATAATACAGTTATAAAGATTGAGAAGATCAAGGCAAATGGCTCTCAATAGCCTACTCCTAGAGCTTCTCATTCTGCAGTTACTTATGGAGAGAGATTTTTATTTATAATTGGAGGAGAAGGGTATAAATGAATAATAATTAAATTTAGATATTAATATGATTAATAGAAAGATAATGAAGAGGAAGCAATTGAATAGGATTAGGATGATGATTAAAATATTGATGAAGAAGAAAAGCCAATATTTCCAAAAAATGATATTTGGATATTTGAAACATTAATGAGAGTATGTAATTTAATTAAATTTATAGACATGGAGTAAATTATAACCAAAATCTAAGACTCCAGTATTCTAACCTAGATTTTCACATAGTTGTATAGTTTATAAGGATTAGTTTATAATTTTTGGTGGATTGAGAAGTATGGGAGAAGTATTAGAAGATATAATGGTATTGCATTTAAAGGATAGTGAAAATAATATATAGAAATATTCAAGGGATGAGATGAAAAATGTATGTAAATATTGTTAATTGATATATGGTATTCAATAAGAAGAAGAAATATCATTTCATAAAACAATTGAAAATAATGCAATAAAATTACCTAAATTATCTTTAACATTTGTAGATGAGTAATATTAATTTAATAAATTTTATAGAATTTCTAAATTGATTTATTGTCCTATGTCTTGTTTTGGTCTCTTTTTGGATAATGTAAAATTATCAGAAGCTTCAGAAGTTAATTTTGAATATGTGTTTTTATAAAGAAAGAAGAAATATTAAAATACCATTGATGAAATTAGAGATAAAATACCAGTATTGATAATTTTTGAGAAAGATCCTAGAGAATTAGATGATTTAAATGATTTCCTATTTAATTTTGATATTTCTAAAAGGAAAAATAAAGTAATTAATTAAGATATAGATTTGAAAAATGAAAGTGAATAAAATTAAGTTTATGAGGAATAGCAATTACTTAATAAGAAATAATATGCATTAAATTTTAAAATTGCATCATTACGTTTAGGAGATAGTGTGTTAATTTGTCATAAGTCTTAGAATAATTATTATGTTGGATTAATATCAATGAATGATTAATTAAATCCTAATGATGAGACATTGACTTTCTATAATTATACAATTACTATTGCAAATGGAACTGAAAAAAAGATTGATTCACCAGAAAGTAAATATGTATTATTAAATGCAATTACTCATTTAATAAATGAAGAAGATTTTATATTAAATTGCAATTATAATTATACCAAAATATTCATTTTTGATTTAGCTAGAATACATGCTTTATAAAAGATATTTGAACTTCATTTATATAATGATGATATAATCTCGAATTAATTTTTAGCATATTAATTAAAAAAAGATGATGCAATCAAATATCCAGATTTCTCTTTAAAGGAGTATCTTAAATATTATTCATTGGAACATTTACCATTTAAAATAACTGTATAGAATTAATTAATTAATACAAATGTTAATGTGATAAGTAGAATTGATAATAAAAATAAGATATCTATATCAAATGAAAAAATACTTATAAAATTAAATGAATGGGCAGAATCATATTAAATAAGTAGATTAACATAAAATAATTTTGGAATACTTCTTTATTATTAAGGAAGATTGATCAATAGATATAGAAAATAATTGGGAGTCTATCCAAATAATTTAGAACAAAGTGGATATATAAATATATCAAAGATTGTTAAACCTAATATGACATTTGAAGTAAATATATAAATATATTGTAGGGATTTAAAAATTCATACTTAAGTTCTATATTACTATAAACTCTGGAAATATTAGAAGAAGAATGCGAACCAGAGAGAAGAAAGGAAATTAAAATTTGATGTTATTGTCTATATATCATAATATATAATATTAAATCATACTGTTATGAATGAGAGTTAAATAGTAAACAGAATTACATTTTAATATACTATATCTATTGATTAATGAAATTAAAGTGTCAAGTAAAAAGTTTTAAAATTTGATATAATAGATATTAGAATTTAGCAAAATTTCAATAGTTTTATCCAATTAAATTACGTAATACAAAGATTTGATTATTTTAGAAATACACATTATCAAGGCAATTTAATTTTTTGTTTGTTATGAACTCACGTGAATAACAAATTATAAATGATGATGTAGTCATATCTTCTGATGAAGAGGAACAAATTTCAATGATTATTGAACATGATCCCACAGGTCGATTCTGCAAAGTATTTATAAACTTTTATATTTTAGTATAATGAAGAGATTGGTAAAGGAGCTTACAAAAATGTATATAGAGGTTATGATAATGAAAGTGGATGTGAAGTTGCATGGAATGTGTTTTAATTAACGAATGTGTCTGAAAGTATTAAATTGAAAATAATAAGATGAGAGAAGAAGAGCAAAATAAGAAATTGCAATTTTGAAAAGTCTACAACACAATAATATTATTCGTTTTATACATTCTTGGTAAAGTAAATCAAAGAAGGAAATAGTTTTTATTACTGAAATTGTAAATGGAGGTTCATTGAAAAGGTAATCTTATAATAAAATTATATAGTTATATAAGAAGAATAAAAAGACCTAAATTAAAGGTAATACGATATTGGTGTAAACAAATTTTAGAAGGAATAGAATTCATGCATTCTTAAAATATTATACATAGAGATTTGAAATGTGAAAACATTTTTATTGATACCAATAATAACGAATTAAAAATTGGGGATCTGGGATTGTCTATTTAGTAAATAAACTTTATTAAATAAGAGAATGTAATCTCATTATACAAGTTCCGTTTTAGGCACTCCAGAATTTATGGCTCCTGAAATATATTAAGGTAATTATAATACAAAAGTGGATATTTATGCATTTGGATTATGTGTTTTAGAAATGGTAACTGGCTTAAAGCCTTTTAGTGAATGCAAAGGAGGCACAGCTTAAATAATAAAAAAAGTAATGGAATCTTAAAAACCTTAAAGTATAGAAGCCATTTTAAATGAAAAAATAAAAACAATCATTTTTGAGTATAAATTTAAATTATATATAAAGATGTCTCAAACCTCCAGATCAAAGACCTACAGCTACTTAATTATTGAATTAATACTTTTAATCTACTTTTTTAGATGATGATAATTTACCTGTTCCCATCAATGAATCTTTGCTTATTTAAATTACAAATGATAGCAAAAGTATACAATCTAAAATATATTTAGATTCTTCTGTTTTAAAATGTATTCCATCTAAAAATATAAGTGAATAGAAAGGAACTAATAACTAAATTCTAGTTATAAATTAATCTTATAAACTTAATTCTAATAATATCCTTTAAGAAATTAATCCTAATTCAATGAAATAAAATGAAGTTAAATTCAATAAATTAAGTATTGATACTAATGATGATTATTCAGTTGAATAATAATTTACTAAGTAGTATAGAGAATATTATGTATGATTAAATATTATAAAAGTTAACTTAAAATGATGAAACTTTATAAGATCTTGAATAAAGATAAGAGAAGGAACTTTAATTACTTATGAATATTCATAAATAATAGAAAATTGAACTTTAGAATAAATAATCTTTAATTAATAGAGTACCTGTCATTCCTTAAGGATCAGGATTCTTATCACCAAAATCATTTTTTACATTATTTGAGTATAACAGCAACGATTTTTAACATTAATAAATATCATAATAATAATAATTATAATCACATTTTGCTTTGAAAAAATAAGATACATTTAGTTAAGATGAAGATGGGGTTAAAAGAAATGAATTAAAAAATGATACTATCAGTACTAATCAATCGGTATTTTATATTATAATTTATTTAGCAACAATAATGTAAATTTAATACAGACGTTGCGTTGTAATCGAAGTCATAAAGTATTCGACCAATTATATAAAGTTGAATATTAACATAACTTTTAATGTTAATAGTGATTAATATTTATTATTATTAATTTGAGTGAGTTTGTTTCTAGAGAGGATTAGTCTTAGATTATAAAAATTATTTGAGAATAATAAATAGTGAATTAATTTATAAATAGAAACATTAACATCATCCTTATGTTTTATCACTATTTTAAAATGTTTGATTATATTATTATTATTATTAAGGATAACAAGCAACATGATAATTGAATCCTGCAAGATAATTAGGTACTTATTAGAAATTATGAGTATTCAAATTTGGTGGAAAATTTAAGACTGATCTTTAATTTACATTTTAAGTTGTTCCTTAATACTATTACTAATAATTATTAAATGGAAAAAATGGAAAGTAAGAATTAATACTATTTTGATTTTCTGGTATTTAATTTTATTATTATATAGGATCTTCAACATTTTAGTTTAATAATATATTACTTAAGATATTATTATAACTAGGTAGACTAGGATTACTTAAATGTCCATACAATCCTTAATTTAATAGATTATCTTTATTTAAATTGGGTTATGACTAATTTTTGAAGAATAAATTAATTTGTTCTTAAGTTGCAAAATAGATTCTATTTTTCTCTTTATTAATTAAACATGATTATAATTATTAAGATTCTTCTGATGAAATTTAAGTAAAATCCATAATTTATAATGTTAAGATATTTAATTATGATTTATTATTAGTATTTTCATATTTTTTATCATTATTATTAATATTTTAATCACTTTAATTATTATTATCCTTATTTTAAATATGAATTTCATCATTATTTTTTAATGGATCTTCTTATTATTATTATTATTTAATATGTTTTGGATAACGATTTGAAGAAATCTTTTTTGAATGTTAATCAAAATCTTCTTATTTAACATCATAAGGATCACCACCATCTTAATTCATTCTCCATTCAATTTTTTTAATAATTGAATTTATACATCTTTACTCTTCTAAACTTAATTCTTCAACAGAAGGATCAGATAATATAGAATCTTATACATCATAATTATAATTGCTTTCTTAATTTGAAGATGTTTAAACTTTATTGTTTTTTTCTTTTCTCATTAGACAATTAAATCTATTTTTTACATTATTTTCACTTCTTTACAGTTTTAACTATTTTGAAATTTAAGCCCATTTTTTTCCATTTAAAATGGCCAATTTCATAAGCTCTAAATCTTCAGATAATTACCATGGTTTTCTTAATATTAATTATATAATTACCTATTAATAGTTGGATTTAAATGATTATTCCATCTTTCTCTACACTGTTTCCCATTTCTATGTACACTTGAATCTGTACGTTTGTTGAGAGATGTAGCTATCTAACTCCATTTATTTCCTTTATTTAATTTCTAATATTCTTGAATAATTAATAGAAGTGCATCATCTTCATGTCTAGTCCATGGAGCCTATTGTAAAGGTAGTCTTAACATTTATAGCCACTTCTATTTACAATGAAAGGCCTCTCTTCTCTACATCATGGAAGATATGTTGATCCAATCAGATTCACTCTATAAAATTCATATGAACCAATTCAATACAATCTATTTAAAATCTCGTTTATGAAAGGCTAAATATTTTCCAACCAACCAAATTAATACTTTTTTATCATCTTCAGTCCAGTTCTTCTTGAATTTATTTGCACCTTACTGGATACTTGCTTAGTTGTTCTTTTGAATGTTCAGAATTTCATAGTTATCAGGAAATTATTCTAAGCCAAGATTATATAGCTCTTTCATATAGGTGAATCTCACATTGGTAATGTCTTTAACTTTATCGAAAAAATCTTTAAATTTAGTGAAGAAATCATCCATTATTCAATTCTCAGAAATTATAAAATAATCCAATTAAAAACTACCCCATTAACATTATATTGTCTAAGTATATTATTATTAATAAATTGTTTTTAATTTTATATGAAATAAGGTTATTGGATTTAAGGATGGAGTGATTTAGTAGCAAATTTAAAAGTGACCTAAAATTGTATAGATTTGGTTGATGTTCAAGGAAATGGCTAATATAATTTAGTGGTTGCAGATTAAAATTAAAGACTAGTTTCATATAGGAATACAAATATTGCTTGGGAAACTAGATTGACAGATAAACCAGTTTGTATGACATATTTCTATGGTGACACATCAGGTTAACCTTGTATTAGTATATGTTATGGAAATACCATATATAACTATAAGATTTTCAAAGCCTTTTATAAATGTCAAATTCCCAATATTCAATTGAAACAAGAAGAATCAGATATTTGGAAATAATATTAGAGTGATAGAAATATACAAAACCTTATTAAGGATTTAAGTAATTTATAATAATAGCATTCAAATTTATCATATAAGTCTTTGGAATTATTATGTTTTTATGATTTGTAAAAATAATAAGAATTAGCAGAAAAATATTGTGATAATCTTCATATTGAAGATTCAATTACTTGTGTAAGTGTATTTAAAAAAAATGCAGATGAGGATAAATCATAAGGATAATTAATTGTAGGAACAGAATTGAAATTCATATACATATATAATTAAGAAATAACATAAATTTAAAAAAAAGTAAATATATATATTAAAATAATATAGTATGAAATACCTGGAGTTCCTATTTCAATTTGTATATTTTCAGAAGAACAAAAAGATGGTAGAATTGCAATATTAGTAAGAGAGAATTGTATTTATTTTATTGGAAATGATATTGAATCATATACTATAGATTTGCAATCAAAACCAATTACTATGATAAGATAATAAAGATGTTTGTATATAGCAACTATGGATAGGGTTGTCTAAAATTATTAACATAAATAAAAATAATATTAATTATTAATGTAACATAATATCTTAGCTATTGAAATTGTAACTATAGGTAAAGGACATGAAACTAAAGGATTACTTGTTGCATTAGAAAATAAAACAATATAATTCTATAAGGATACTTAATTAATGTCTATTATTAATTTGGAAGTAAAAATTAATTTATTAATTTAGAGTAATGTTTCAGTTATGAAATTTGGATACTTTGGAGTTAGTCAAGATGGTTTTCTTATTACTATTAATATAAAAGGAGCATTAGAAACAAGAACTTTATCTAGAGAATTTGAAAAGAAGAAATAAGCAATATTAGAAAAAGAAATTATTAAACCAATTGAATTTCCACCAATTACAAATTTATTTATTGAATAATTTTAAAGAGAGAGAGAGTAAGGTTCTGAAATGTTAAGAACATATTAATATGATTTATTGAGAATGAGATATAAAACTGCTTAAACATATTTGAATATATTGTCTAATAATGAATAGGCTCCTCAATTAAATTAGAATAATCCTTTGAGGCTTTCTGCTATTGTTGAAGGATTAGGACCAAAATTTAAATTATGTTGTGTTGTTGAAAATATTAGTAATCAACCAATCAAAGATATTTATATTAATTATGTATACAATTCAGATATTTATTAACCATTTTAATTAATAAATTAATTACCATTTTTAATACCAAAATATTAAAAAAACTTTGATTGTTATTTTACAAATATTCATTAAAATGGTATAAGTGATAAAATTAAAATAATTTTGTATAGGGAATCAAAATAATTAATTTAAACTACAATTTAGATGCCAATGAGTGAATTAGAATGAAATAATAACCACAACTAGTTTATGAAAAATAATTATTATTAAATTTCAATTAAATTATTTTTATTAAAAAGATTTAATAATGTATATTATTTTATTAATATATATAGATCTTAAAGTAAAGTAAGAATATAATTATTCAAAATTTAAATTATATTTCATTAATAATTAATTATAATTATAATTCATCTTCTTTTCTTATTACCTCCCTTTCTGGTTGGAATCTCTGAGTCACTTGACTATTTTCTCTTTTTTTTGACTCCATCATCTGAGTCAGATTCACCTATAGAAATATGTATATATTCACTTACCTTAGTAATTTTCTTCAGCTTGAACTTATTCTTTTTATTTTTATCCTTAAATTATGATTCCTTATTTCTTTAATTCTTTAACTAAATTATTTGCATCTTCTCTTTATAATTCAAAATCTTTCATTATTGCATCTCTAAGAACTTGTCCTTCATCTTAGGCTTGTAATCCAACTTCTTCTTGTAAGACTTTTAAAAAATTGTTTTCATTTTTAACATCAGCATTAGCCTTTTCTAATCTTTCTATACATTATTCTAAACTAATTATTAAACTTTAATAAAATGATTATTTAGGTTTCAATTTATTATTATCATCTTCTTTAATATCATACATCTCTAAAAAGTCTGCTTATTTTGTAACTTAAGTGATGACCTTTTAAAGTATAATATTATTATGATCACTGACTAATTTACACAAGTACATAATAAATCTTTCTTGGGGTCCAATAAAGTCAGATTCAAAAGATCTAGATTCTAAAATATCTTTAAATTCAGCCAAAGATGGATTAGATTTTTAACCATTTATTTTATAACTCATCATTTTAATACCTGCACTTGCTGCTTATATTAATGAGTTTTCTTGCCATTATTATGTATCAAAGAGATCAGGATTCAAAATTTAATCTTTCACATAATGTAAATAACAACAAATACTAAAGTATAATTCCAATCCCTTTTCAAATATTCTTAAGAATTGTAAAGATGATGTAATATAAAGTTTAAGAAAACTTGTGACAATTTACAAAGGTAATTATTGAGAACGTAATTTAACATCAAACCACAAAAATAAAAATTAAGCTATCCAAACTTAGGGTTTCAAAATTTTATCATGAATTAATAATTTACATAATCCTTCTAATGCTATAGCTTAAATTACTCCTTCTGATTTGAAGGCAAATTTCATTATAATTGATAAAATCTTTTATTTACCATATGTTTCTGAATCAATAACCCATGCCTAATCATCATCATACATTAATAATGCATCCAAAATACTTCTTAAAGCTGTTATAGTCATAGGA